AAGAAGACTGAGGTACAAGAAGTTGAATAACTTTCCAGAGTCCCGCATTAGTCATATAGCTAAAGTAGTAAAGCTAGGATTCAAATTTATCAATCAGGTCCAGGTTTAGCCATTGCACTCTGTTACTTGTTTTCACTCAAACTGTGCTGGTTCAGTTTTCTCATGTACTAAGGAGTGGTGTGGTCATAATTGGTAGGAACTCTCTTCCCAGCTCAATGGAAAGAATGAAAGAATAAAACTGTTGGTCCAAATAAAGCTTTTGGTCTTAATGCAACTTGGTAACATTTTAAAGTATGTCTGACTGCAAGGGTAGCAAACCCATACTAACCCATACTAGTCATAAAACGTGTAATTGCTGTATATATTTATTGTGTATGAAATAACGATGGGATGAAATAATCTCTTTTATTTATTTATTTATTTATTGTGGTGCTGGGGATAGAACCTAGGGCCTTGTGCATGAGAGGCAAGCACTCTACCAACTGAGCTATATCCCCAGCCTGGGATGAAATAATCTTAATTAAAAAAAAAAAATTATCAAGGGCTGGGTGGGGTTGTGGTTCAAAGGTAGAGCACTTGCCTAGCATGCATGAGGCACTGGGTTCGATGCTCAGCACTACATAAAAATAAAGTGAAGACATTTTATCCACCTATAACTAAAAAATATTTTTTAAAAAAAATTATCAGTTGTTGAGAAGTCTACCTGGGGATGCTTTCAGCAACACAGTTATTTTACAACAGTTAAAACTAAAAAGGCCTCAATATATGACTTTTATTTTTTTTATTTTTATTTTTTTCCTTCAATATATGACTTTTAAAAAGCCAGTAAAAATTATTATTATGCAGCTAACATTTCAAATGTCTCTCAGAACTCATACTCCACTTCTTCTTCTTCTTTCTTTTAAAATTTATTATTTAATATATTTTTAATACCTTTATTTTATTTTTATGTATTGTTGAGGATAAAAACCAGTGTCTCACATGTGCTAGGCAAGCACTCTACCAACTGAGCTACAGCCCCAGCCCTATTATTTAATATTTTATTGAGTAAAGAATCATTCTTGGGGGCTGGGGATGTGGCTCAAGCGGTAGTGCACTCGCTTGGCATGCGCGGGGCACTGGGTTTGATCCTCAGCACCACATAAAAATAAAATAAAGATGTTGTGTCCACCGAAAACTAAAATATTAAAAAAAAAAGAATCATTCTTGGGTTAGGTGCTGTGGTGCATGCCTATTATCCCAGCTAATTGGGAGGCTGAGGCAGGAGGATCATGAGTTCAAAGCAACCTCAGCAAAAGCAAGGCGCTAAGCAAATCAATGAAACCCTGTCTCTAAATAAGATACAAAATAGGGCTAGGGATGTGGCTCAGAGACCAAGTGCCCCTGAGTTCAATCCTCCCCACCCCCGACCCTTGCCCACAGAAAAAAGAAGGAAAAAGATAAATAGAACACAAATTTACATCATATTATGGGATTCAAAAGATATTTTCCCCATTATGTATAAATCATAGCAAACAAAGAAATAAAGTTCTCTCAAACTGCTGCAGTGTGGCATTTGTCAGCAGTGTACTATTTGTGTTTTTTATTTTATTGCAAGTTGACAAATTACAATTGTATATATTATTGGGTACAATGTGATGTTACAATTTATGAATGTGGATTAATAAAATCAAGCTAATGAACATATCCATCACCTCAAATACTTATCATTTTTTGTGATAAGAAATTTATTCTCCTAGAAAAGTTGAAGTGTACAATAAGCTATTATTATATTTGCCACACTGTATAATAGACCTGTTTCTGTTTTTCTTCTTTTGCACTTCTAGCCTGTGCATGCAAGTGATCTACCACTAAGATAAACTCCCACTCCCTTTCCTTTTCTCTCTCTTTTTGGGATGTTTAGTAGAGATTTGAAAAACAAGAACAAAAACTTATTCCACACCCCCAGCCCTTTGAATTTTTTTTTATTTGAGACAGGTTATGGTTAAATTGGCAGGACTAACCTCTAACTTATGATCCTCCTGTCTCAGCCTACCTATTAGTTTGGATTACTGTTTTGAATCACTATGCCAAATCGTTTTTTTGTGTGTGTGTGTGTGTGTGTGTGTGTGTGTGGCTATTATGTGTAGTGCTGCAATAAGCATGAGAGTGAAGATGTCTTTTTGCCATACTGATTTCATTTCCTTTGGATATATACCCAGTGGTCATTGCAGGACCATATGGTAGTTCTATTTTTAACTTTTTGAGGAACCGCTATGCTTTTCTCCATAATGGCTGAACTAATTTACATGCCCACCAATAGTTTGCAGTAATTCCTTTTTCTCAGTCAGGCACCGTGCATGAGTCTAATCCCATCAACCCAGGAGGCTGCGGGAGAAGGATTGCAAATTCAAGGTCAGCCTCAGCAATTTAGTAAGACACTGTGTCAAAATAAAAAAACTAAAAGGGTTAGGGATATAGCTCAATGATAGAGCCTCCTAGTAGTCAATCTCCAGGACTGGGGAATAAACAAGACTCCCTTCTCCTTTTTCTCTACATCCTCACCCCTGCCCTTCAATACTTGGAATTGAGCCCCAGGGTGCTCCACCACTGAGCAACATATTCAGCTCATTTTATTTTTTATTTTGTGACAGGATCTCAGTTGTGCAGGCTGGATTTTAATTTGTGATCTTTCTGCTTCAGCCTCCTGAGTAGTTGGGATTAAAGGCCTGACCCAGGGGGCCTGGTGGAGGTCTAAGGTAATTTGTATAAAAGTGAAGCATGGAGCTAACAATCAGGTTGGAAGGATGTGTGGAGAAGGGTGAAGGTGGGGGAGGGGATTTGTTTTGATTTAATAAACTCTTAGCAATTTAGATCAGATTGAGAAAGTGGCCAAACAGCAGGAAAGGGTATTCCTTGAGATTATAGGTTGAACTAAGCCCTCTGAGGTGCTGCTACTGCCAAAATCTATGACCTAACAATAATTAATTAATGTGATACTCATTTTAACAGATCTATAGAATGAGACCTAAGCATTTAAATTTCTATGGGAGTAATGTCCATCAGGGGATAGTAGGTGAGGGAGAGATTTTATACAAAGGAGTGGTTTTAATTGACCCTTCACTTTTGAAAAGGGGAATGTTCAAAACACATGAAATATTCAAAATCAGAAAATTTAAAGATCTGGTGGACTGTCCAAAACCTGTGGCTAAGCAATGTGGGGAAAAGTGTGGTGATGAAAGAGAGCAGTGACCCAATCATAATAGTCTGGCATGTTATGCCAAGGCTTTAGAGATCCATACTTTTGATGGAAATTGCTGGAGGATTTTTGGCACAGGAGTGAGGATTAAAAAACAAAACATTTTAAACAGATCCAGAAACTATACTTTTGAAAAAGTCACAGCCCCTTCTTTAAAAATGAAAAACTTAAGGGGAAAAGTGTACAAGCCCTACTCTTGTAGAGTTTATATTCTAGCAAGGAGAGGCAGACTATAAATGATAGATACAAATTATGAGTTAGTCATAAGTGCTACAAGGAATAAAGCAGAGTAAGGAATATAATGATTGTGAAAAGATACCTTTCTTAAGAGAAACTCAATGGTTCTTTTCACAATTCTCAAAGTCATCATGGACACAACAGTTACATTTTAACTAAAGTCTAAGAACTGCAAGCCTGACCATATTTTTCATTCACTAATAACTTTTCCTTTTAAAACACATTCCTTTCTTACCAAAGCCCAGAAAAGGAGGAGCAAATTTCCCTCTAAAGGACAATGGCTTCTCAAAGCTTTCTCAGCCTGCTTCCACCCAGTCTTTGCATTTCAGATTAACCATTTCACCTTTTTTTTTTTTTGGTACTGGGAATTGAACCCAAGGATGTTTAACCTCTGAGCCACATCTCCAGCCCTCTTAATTTTTTATTTTAAGACAGGGGCTCTCTAAATTCTGTAAGCTGGCTTTGAACTTGGGATCCTCCTGCCTCAGCGTCTTGAGGGCTGGGATTATAGGCGTGCCCCTCCATGCCCAGCTTTGTTCACCGATTTTTAAGCCTTTCATTTGAAAGTTTCCACTCACTAGGCCTTATATGTTTCCCTCTCTCCCTCTCCCTCTGCCCTCATTTTTTTCACTTAACAAACAACTTATGGTTGGTATGGCATAAATTTTGCTAAACACAAATAACAGAAAAGCAATTATGTGTACTTGTGTGGGGGTGGGGGTGGCTCAGAAGCAAGGCTAGGAACACGTGATGCCAGAGTGGAAACATTGTGTTGCTCTCTGGGCCTTCGGTGCTGGATTTGAATCCTGCCGACTGTGGGGAAAGCTCAGCCGCACACGGAAAAGGGGAGCAAAATAGTAATAATAATAAGATCGAACTTAAGGATTTACACTCCACTTATGAAGCTCCGGCCAACCCCTACTCCAACAGAAGAATGCAAATCTTTGGGAATTACCTAAGTCAATAGAATCATCAAGTCGAAGGGCGGGGCCCGAAATTTGCACTTTAATAACGCCTACCTCCAGGCCATTGTTATGTTCACTGAAAGCTTGAGGACGGTTGGCCTAGCTTCTCACGCTACACCTTCCACCAGTTATTGTTATTAGCCCTATTTTACAGAGAAGGAAATTGAGGCACAGAAAGGATAATTATATTCCTAAGGACAAACCCAACCAGGGGTTGAACCAAGACGTGCTTGAGATGCAACTCTTCATTTTACATTTAACAGTGCATTATGCCCTTTTGCTAAGTGATCTGCTCGTTAATACTTCAACCTTGGAGTTTGAGCACTTGGTCTGAAGTCTCACTAATTCGTCTGGTAAATTTGGGCCGAATTTACATTTTGAATATGAAGTCCATTTCTTTGGATAAAACATCCCCACCTGAAGGTGACCTGAGGGGATGGGCGGGGCGGGGGAGCTGAGCAAAGAAGGGAGGCGATCGACGCCTCCGGCGCGCCGCTGCCTGTTGGATTGGCTCGAACCTCTCCCGCCAGGCCTGTCCTACTCCCGCGCGCTCCTGGGCCCGCCCCCGCCGCCATCTTGGTCCAAGAGGGAGCTTGTCGCACGCGTGAGTAAACTGCCCGAGTCGCCAAAGTCAGGCTTTGGCAGCCTGCAAGTGCAGCGGCGCAGTGGCGGAGAGGACGCTGTCCTGAACATTGTACGTAGGGCTAAGTATCCCGGGCGCGGTGGGAGGTCAAGGAAACCTTCGGCCTGGTGCAGCCTCTGCCCCCTCGCGGCGAGATGCCGCGCTCCCGGGTCTTCTCCCGCCCCTCCCCAACCCCCCGCGCCGTCTCCTCTCTCCGTTGAATGCTGCCCGGGAAAGTGGTGGCGGGAGCGGGCCCAGGCCGGAGGGCGGCGTGGGCCGCAGTGCGTGTTACTGGGCGGAGGAGAAGGTTAGGGCTTGCGTTTGGGCTCTAGAGGCCGGCGCTGTGGACACGGCGGAACTGCGAGTCCGGGAGCCAGTGTTAAGGTGTGAGCGCCGGATTCGCGCTGGGCCGCCGTGAGGCTCTTTGCGTTGGTCACTACATTTTTCTCCTTTTCCGGCCCTGCCTTAGGGTGGCCGACATGACGGCCCCAGGTCCGAGCCCTCTCGCGCCGCTGTTGGAGACACTGGAAGACTCTTCCGCCTCCCTGGGCGAGCAGACGGATGCCTACCTAACTTTGACCAGGTGAGGCCCGCTGGGGTGGGAGGCGCTTCGGTGGAGGTTGGACGCAAGATGGTTGTTTGGGACTCGTAGAATGAGTGAATTCTTTTAGTCTCGTAAATAGGAGGACACCGGAGTCGGGGATGAGTGGGGTGGAGGGGGACGTATATGCCAAGTGACGTTTCAGGGGCTGCTGCAGCACTTAAGCTGTTTGGAATGAAGGAGACTGCACGCTTGTCTTGCAAGGAAAGGATTAAAGTTTCTGCTGGAAGTAGTTGGAGGAGTGGTTTTCAGTGCGAAAGTCCCTGCGAACTCCTGGTGTATCGCGAAATAACGACCCAGAATTTTTTTTTTTTTTTTAATGGACCACTAGCCTGATTTTTGTTTCAGTTACATAATTATTCAAAAGGAATTGCCTAAAGCTTTGTAAAGAATTTGATAAAATTGGTAAATTTGTACCTGGGATAGGGATTACGCTGCTGTCTTCACATGATGAAACTGTCAAAACTTGGGTACACTGTGGAGGCAAAAGTCATTCTAATGTGTGTTCTCTCTTATTTCTGATGTGTTTTGCATCATATAGTGTATATATTCGTAAGCATCATAAGAATTGGGCCAGTTCATTTCTAAGCATTTATAGAGATATTTTTAGTAAGTGTCCAGTACTTTGTCTTTTGCCTAATCTCTTGTTCTATCTGCTTTTTAAGTCGGATGACTGGAGAAGAAGGAAAAGAAGTCATCATAGAAATTGAGAAAAATCTTCCTCGGCTGTACAGAGTTTTAAAGGTCTGTATCTATGGTTGAATAGTGTTTTGAGTGTTAAAAACCACCCAGCTGACCCATAAGAACTTTCCTAAATAAAAGCAATGATGTTGGTTCGGTTAATGTACCTTTTTATTGATTAATATACTGTATATGAAGTGTTGGCCTCCTGCCTCAGCCTCCTGAGTAGGTGTGAAGACAGGCTATCATCGGATTGCCTGGCTCTTCATTACTTTACATCTTTCACAAGCTTTTTCTCACATTATTCTTCATACCTCGATGAGTTTACCTTTTCCTTTTTTCTTTTTGGCAGTTCTGAGGATCAAACATGGCCTCAACATACTAGTTCTCATTCAACTATACCTTCAGCCTCTAGTTTGCTCTATAATCTCCACTTTTGCAGATGGAGAAATTAGTTTGTCTAAGGTTTTCCATGGCCACTAGAACCTACAGCCTGAATTATCAATCTTATCTGATCAAAGAAGTGATCCGAGATTATTTAATCTCTTTTCATTCCTTTTGGGAATTTATTTATAAGTAAGGAATTCCAAAATAGTAATTGTCTCCCACCTACTTTGTGCATAGCATTTGTAATTTATCTTCACTCACCCTCCATTTTTGCAACTTTTGCTATGTTAGAAACTGTTGCAGTTTTCTTTTTTGCTTGTTTACAGGGAGGTGGCATAGTTTAATGTAAAACTGAGAACATATGTTTTTGTCATGGACTACTTAGGAGGCTTCATGATCTTCCTTTCATACTTAGCATTTAGCTTTTTAATCCCCTTTCCCCTCCAACTCCCAGTACTGGGGATGGAACCCAGGGGCACTGTACCACTGAGCTACTGTCCTAGTCCTTTTAATTTTTTTGTTTTGAAACAGGATCTTGCTAATTTGCCCAGGCTGTTCATGAGCTTTTCCATCCTCCTGCCTCTGCCTCCCATGTGACTAAGATTATGGACTTTCCTCATCAGCCACCAGCCCAGCAACTGTTTCATTTTAAAAATAAGAAAATTAGCCAGGTGTGGAGCCTGCCCTCCAATTTGGAATTCTCCTGCCTCAGCCTCCTGAGTAGCTAGAATTACAGGCATGCACTATCAGCCTCACCAGTATTATTTTATCTTATTTTTTTAATTCTCTAAAGGATTTTTTAAAAATACGGAATTCTTCATGAATTTGACTATCATCCATTCATAGGGACCAAGCTGATCTTCTCTGTGTTCCAATTTTATTTCTTGTGTATTGGGGATGGAACCCATAGGTGTTCTACCATTGATTTATACTCTGCTTTTTATTTTGTGACAAAATGTCACAAAGTTACTGAGGCTAGGCCTCTAATTTGTGATCATATGCCTCAGCCTCAAGTGGCTGGGATTATGGGCATGTGCTAGCACACCTGGTTTTGTTCCAGTTTTTACTATGTATGCTGCCAAAGCGAACATGGAAATAGTATTATTAAGTAACATTAACTTCGATACTTCATTTTTCTTCATTATTACATTTCACATTCTAGCAGTATATTTGATGTGAAGACATGCATCTTCATGTGTTTAATTTTTGAAAGCATGGAATCAAGGACCCTGTTGCATGCATTTTGAGTCAAGTTGCACTGTTTTTAAGTAGAGTTTGTATCTAAAGTTGCTAATGAATTATTTGGAAGCAAGTGGAAGATTAGTAATAGGACAATTAGTAGAAGATATCTATGTAAGTTAAGCAACCAAACAATAATTAAATTTCTTCAAAATAGGAACCATAGTAGATAAAATGTTTGTGTTCTTGTTCAGAATTCTGCTAGATTTGTCTTAAGAACTCAACATTCTTGAAGATAAGGCAGACCTTTATTGAGCTAGAGATATAACACAATGGTAGAATGCTTGCCTAGCATGTTAATTGTGGGTTCAGTCCTCAGCATTGCAAAACATCAATAAAAAAGACAACACAGTTAAGGAACATCATAAACCTTATTTGTTATCTGAACAGGTGCTCAGTTGCTGAGGGTCTTGCTAAGTTACTGAGGCTGGCCTTACATTTGAGGTCCTCCTGCCTTAGCCTCAAGTCCACGGGATTATGGGCATGCACCACCTAATTGGGTTATAGTTGACTTTCTGATCATATGTTCTTACCTGCTCTGAGAATTTTGTTGATTGATTAGATCAAAATGTTATGAGCTTGCTTGTTATTGACTTTTGATTTCTACAAATTTATTTACAGTTGTGCTTATTTGTGATAAATGTGATTTTGTTTTGGTAGAGTCATATTTCCAGTCAAAACTCAGAACTGTGTAGTGCTGCTCTACAGGCCTTGGGGTTTTGCTTATATAATCCCAAAATTACTTCAGGATTATCAGGTAGATAATTATGACTATTAATATTTTTTAATTTTTAAATGTAACTTTATAAAATTATTGTTGTCACTGAGTTAGTTTCATAATTTGTAGTTTAGGATTTGCTTCTAAAAAATGTTTGGATCTCTTCATCAACTATACGTAGTTCTAAATTTGATAGATTGAAATCTGTTGTAGAAAATAAAGATGCTTAAACATAATTGTATACTGAGGGTACAACTCTGAATTGGCCAGGGCCCTGGGTTCAATTCCCTAGCACAGAATAAATATGATTGATGTAAAAACCTTTTTTTTTTTTGGGCTGGGGATGTGGCTCAAGCGGTAGCATGCTCGCCTGGCATGCGTGCCGCCCGGGTTCGATCCTCAGCACCACATACGAACAAAGATGTTGTGTCCACCAAAAACTAAAAAATAAATATTAAAAATGTCTCTCTATAAAAAAAACAAACAACTTTTTTTTTTTTTTTTTTTTGGTACCAGGGTTTGAACTGGGACGGGCTTGACCACTGAACCACATCCCCAGCCCTATTTTGTATTTTATTTAGAGACAGGGTCTCACTGAGTTGGTTAGCACCTGGCTTTGGCTGAGGTTGCCTTTGAACTCGGGACCTTCTAGCCTCAGGTTTCCAAGCTGCTGGGATTATAGGTGTGTGCCACTGTGCTTGGCTAAAAACAGAAACTTTAATAAAACATGGCTGTCTTTGGAAGTTAATAACTTATCTGATTGTTTTATTTAGGTATATACACTAAGGAACATGTTTACTTGGAAGTTTCTTTCATAGTAGTGCGAAATGTAGTATAACTGTGAACTAAAAGTGGTAGTGAAAACATACTTTTAGTTCACAGTTATACTAAACTAGCTTTCCAAGTTTCAAGTAGCCTGAACTGTTGCTCTTTAACTAAGTGGTTTGCTACCCTAGAGGAAAGCTGGGAAGTGATTTTTTTTTTTTTTGGTACCAGACAACTCCTAGACCACTGAGCCACATCTCCAGCCCTATTGTATTTTATTTAGAGACAGGGTCTCACTGAGTTGCTTAGTGCCTTGCCATTGCTGAGGTTGGCTTTGAACCCGCGATCCTCCTGTCTTGGCCTCCCAAGCCCCTGGGAGTATAGGCATGTTCCTGGCTAGGAAGTGATCTTTAGAGAGAAGAAATTAGGAATAGGTAATAAGGATCAGAAAGTTGTTACCATTTGTTTTTCTGAGGGAGTGGGGTTACTTCCAGCTTTGTTTTGTACTAGGGATTGAACCTAGGGACACTTAACCACTGAGCCACATCCCCAGCCCGTTTTATATTTTATTGGAGACAGGACCTCACTGAGTTGCTGAGGCCAGTTTTGAACTTGTGATCCTCTTGCCTCAGCCTCCTGCTGGGATTACAGGAATGCGCCACCACACCTAGCATCACCAGCACTTTTTATTTTCTCTTTGAAGACAGAGTCTTGCTAAATTGCCAGGATTATAGACCAGTGCCACCACACACAGCCCTGCTTATTCTTTTTTATGTATAGAAGTGTTAGCACCCTAAAGTACGAGTTGTTCATCTTGGAGCAGAAGTGTGAGGTTATAATATCTTGCTAAATATTGCATATACCTAGTAATGATACCTGTGGTTATTTTTGTGTGAACTATCTGTTTTGGAGTTCAGTGCTTTGTTTTCTCTGAATATGATAACTTCGATCTGGATTTAAGGTTTGGGAAGTTTGATATCAGTAGTGGTTCCTTGATCCTTCTCTGAATATGTATTTAGTTTTTTTGATTTAAGAGTATTTTCCTTTACTTTTATATTTGAAATTTTAAGATTGGGGCTGCAGATGTAACTTGGTGGTCTAGGCTGGTTTCAATTCCTAGTACCACAGAAGAAAAGATTGTATACTGTTCCTATAATTAAAACTACTTGCTTTTCAGAGGCAAATATTCAAGAATTGCTTTCAAAATTGAATAATATTGTTAAGAATTCAGACAAAAATGTATGCACCAGGGCACTTTGGGTAATATCCAAACAGACGTTTCCCGCTGAAGTTGTTGGAAAAGTGGTGAGTACAGTTTTTCTAAGTCTTTTCTACATCTACATGCCAGCAAAACAGTTCTGTTTTATTTGATTTGTATATATTTGGTTCTGTCTTTTAGGTTTCCAGTATAATTGACTCATTAGAAATAGTATTTAATAAAGGAGAGATACATTCTGCCGTTGTTGATTTTGAAGCATTAAATGTTATCATAAGGTATGCAGTTTGGATGCAATTCACATTAGAATACTGTTTCTATAAATTTAGAATTTATTTCAACGATTGAACTTTCTGAGATTCAAATATGAAATTGACAGTAAAAGAATGGGGGCATGTCTTTACTGAAAGTCTTAAAAGTAAAGTCTTGTTCATGATAAAGTTTTTAAAAATTATCTCTTAAAGGGTTTTAAAAATAATACAACCTTGTAAGTGGGCTAGAAAAGGGTATTTATGAAGGCAGTCATGTTGTCTAGCATGGAGTAGGAAAGTCCCTTCTACTTGCCCTTCCCTAGTCTTTTTTTTTTTTTTTTTATAGTGGTAAGGATTGAACCCAGGCCTCACGCATGCAAGGCAAGCACTCTACCAACTGGGCTATATCCCCAGCCCCCAGCCCTACTCTTTAAAAGACATGGGGCACAAACTCTTGACTTGTTTTTTCATTCTTTGTTTTCTTTAGTTTTTGAGCTGTTTGTTTTAATTTCACCTTCTGGTGCTGTGGTTGATGATCATATTATAGTCTAGTTCCTTGGCTCCCTTTTAAAAACAGTACAGGGCTGAGGTTGTGGCTTAGTTGTAGAGTGCTTGCTTAGCGTGTGTGAGGCACTGGATTCAATTCTCAGCAACACACACACCCACACAATAAAAGTTATCATGTCCATCTACAACTAAAAATATTAAGAAACAACAATAACAACTCCAGGGATGGAGCTTTGTGGTAGAGTGCTTGTTTAGGACATAGGAGGCCCTGGGTTAAATCCTGCCACAAAAACAGAATTTTTACATAAAAAGTAAAGCAGTATACAAATTAGCAAGAAAAATTTGATCTTTATTTTACCACATAGTTGTTGCTACTTCAGTAGTATACACTAGTGTATATTCATGAATATTTTATGCACTCTAATCTTGCACCAAAGACTGAGTTCAGAAATAAATGATTTTTTTTGTGTGTGTGCGCGTGCTGGGGGTCAAACTCAGGGATTTGTGCATGCAAAGCAAGTACTCTACCATCTGAGCTATATCCCTAGCCTATAATAAGTGACTTTTAAGTGATAACTGGCTTTTTTCCCCCTTAAAAACAAAAATAAAAACAAAAAAACTTCATATATTGGTTGTACCTCAATTTTTTCCAAAAAAGAAAAAAATTGGGGGGGGGGGGTGGCAGAATGTATGTATGCATTCTAAATTATGCTGTTTATTTTTCCTGCTAGATTAGACTAAAAAAGTGAGTTCAAGCTAACTTATTGATTTCTCCTTTATAGGCTAATTGAACAAGCTCCAGTTCAAATGGGAGAAGAGTCAGTGAGGTGGGCAAAATTGGTCATACCTTTAGTGGCTCATTCAGCACAAAAGGTTCATTTGAGGGGAGCCACTGCTCTGGAGATGGGAATGCCATTGTTGCTTCAGAAACAACAAGAAATAGCATCTATTACAGAGCAGCTTATGACTACTGTAAGCATTAAGTTACTTAAGGATTTTCTAAATACTGTATTAATACAAAGTTTCTTTGCTAAGCTTGAAATTCATTTTAGGCTCATTGGTTTAATTGCACTGTGATCTAGGAGTTTTTGGTTTAATTGCACTGTGATCTAGGAGTTTAGCTTTGAATTAAAACAAAGAGTTGCTTAAGTTAGTGTAGACCAATTATACATAACAGTACAGAAATGAACTGTCTATTCATTTTTAATACACTGTAGATATTTTATCCCATCCTCAATGAATGTTGACTAGAAAGGGATTGCATTTCTCCCATCCTCTAACCAGACCCCTGCTTGGTTTCTGAGATTAGACATCCAGGCGCATTCAGGGTGGTAAGGCTGTACATAAGGGATTATATTTCTTTTTTTTTTTTTTTAGTATCTATTTTCCAGTTGTAGTTGGACACAATACCTTTATTTAATTTATTTATTTTTATGTGATGCTTGCTAAGTGCTCTACCGCTAAGCCACAAAGTCGCTAAGCCAAAACCCCAGCCTGCCCCCCCAACAAGGGATTATATTTCTAAATAAGGGAGAGCAGTACCCAATTCAGTGTTATTTTTGTGTTATTATATAATTTCAGTAGTTATGAATTTTCATGCATGTAAGCTCATCTAGTCCATATAATTTCCTAGCTGGTTATTACTTTCCTCAAGTCTTAGGCTTACCAACATTTGTTCTTGTAAACATCTTTTAGCATCTATATGCAGTGCATTACTGTTGACTATAGTTGTAAACAAAAGGCTTATAGAACTTGTTTTCTAATGAGAAATGAGGGAGGCACATAATGTATTAAGTGAAGAGCACTAGGGAGGATAGAATAGCAGGGACAGGCTGAAGTTTGCCATCAAAGAGAAATGGTGAGGTGGTCAGGGAAGGTAAAAATTAGGACATTGGAACTGTGATTTGAAGACAGTATAGGAGTTAGCCATGTGGATAATATAGGGTAAGCTCGTTGTAAGCAAGAAAACCATGAGTGCAGAAGGGCCATTCTTGTTGCAGGGAATGGTGGTACACATCTATAATCATAGCTACTGGAGAAGTTGAGGCAGGAGGATTTCAAGTTTGAGGCCTGTCTAGGCAACTTAGGAAGACCCTGTCTCAAAACAAGTTTATATTTATAAATTTTTTCTTTTTTTAAGGGCCCTGGGGATGTACTGTTAAGAATGTCCCTGGAGGGCTGGGGATGTGGCTCAAGCGGTAGTGCACTCGCCTGGCATGCGTGCGGCCCGGGTTCGATCCTCAGCACCACATACAAACAAAGATGTTGTGTCCGCTGAGAACTAAAAAATAAACATTAAAATTAAAAAAAAAAAAAAAAAAAAAGAATGTCCCTGGATTCAGTCCCTTGTCTGGCAAAAGAAAGGGGAGGATCCCATTCTGCTCTTACATTGTGTACCAACTTGGTGTTCAGCGAACACTTGGCAATATGACAGAAGTGAGAGTTATGAGGTTGAGAAGAGTGGAAGATATTGTTAGAGAAACAGAGGACCTAATCACACAGGTCCTTGGGACCATAGTAAAGATGCAATTTTTACTCTGGATTATAAGGAAAGTCATATTTGAATGTTTTGAGCTTCCAAGTATTATATACTGATTTGAATTTTAAAGTGATTATTCTGGCTATGTTGAAAACAGGCTTGGGGATGATAGAGCAGGAGCAGGAAGATTAAAGTATAATAAAGTAGTATCTTTAAGAATTGTTTTTGTCAGGCACAGTGGTGCATGCCTGTAATCCTAGCAGCTGAGGAAGATCACAAGTTTAAAGCCAGCTTTAGCAACGTAGCGAGGCACTTAGCAACTCAGGGAGACCCTGTCTCAAAAAAAAAAAAAAAAAAGTGGGGGTACCTGGGGTTGTGGTTCAGTGGTTAAGCAGCCCTGGTATCAAAAAAAAGAGAATTGTTTTGTTCTCATAAATTTATTCATCTTCAGTACCCTATGTACAGCTTTATAAATAAATTTGAAGTAAGATTTTCTCATGGGCTGGGGATGTGGCTCAAGCGGTAACGTGCTCGCCTGGCATGCGCGGGGCGCTAGGTTCGATCCTCAGCACCACATAAAAATAGAATAAAGATGTTGTGTCCACCAAAAACTAAAAAATAAACATTAAAAAAAAAGATTTTCTCATATTGTTTATGATACTGTGAAAGTTTTTTTGCTTTTTTAAGTTTCTAGTGTGAGAAAACTAATACACTATCATTTGAACTCTAATGATGTGCAGGCTGAAGTTTTTAGGAGAAAGTTTTTCTACCAGTATATTGGTGGAAATTAAGTGTGATTGATGAATGGTGAGAAGGCCTGATGTGTGATAGACAAGCATAGCTAAGTAAATGTTAATGATAGAATTTAGATTTTGGCATTTAGATATTTATGGTACATTTTCGGGTTTGGTATATTTTCTAAATTTTTCCTTTTGGGTTTTTTTTCGGGGGGGAGGTAATAAGGGTACTTTATTGTGGCAAAGATTATTTGGCTGATAATGAAGTATTAGAAATTATTTCTAGGCTTTGATATTGGATTATTTTTTCCTTTTGAAGAGAATATTTGGTAAATATTTCGCTTTTACTTACAGAAATTAATTTCAGAACTCCAAAAGCTATTTATGAGTAAAAATGAGACCTACGTGTTAAAATTGTGGCCTTTGTTTGTCAAACTTCTTGGAAAGGTAAGTGTCAGAGTTAGGTGAACAGTTCACAATTTTTATATGCCAGACCTTTTCATTTAAACTTTCCTTAGTTCAGTCCATCCTCAGAGTTTGTTTTCCTTATTTGTAAATTTGCCTGCTCACTAGAACTTGTATGTAAATTCCATATCAGTACTTTTGTAGCTTTCACATAATTTGTAAACATGTAGAATGGGAAAGAATTTGAGTCACCCAATGTGCATGTTCTCAGCCAAGGTTCAACAAGGTTATACCCTGTCTTCCCCCCAGTTCCCCGGGTAGGGATTGAATCTAGGGATGCTTTACTTCTGAAGCACATCCCTAACCCTTTATATATATTTTAGTGTTCCTAAGCATGAACTTTTGTGCTTTTTTTTTTTTTTTTTTTTTTTTTTTAGTGTTCCTAAGCACAGGAAGGCTGTGATGTGCCTTATGAAGAAATACTCATGTGTTAAATAAGCTTTATTCTAACATAAGTTACAATGCTATTGGCTTTCATTTCAGTGCTAGGAAATCAATAATAGATATTAAGTAAGGGAATTAGTATATATTGAGTAAGGTACCTTTACATGAAGAAATACATAAAACAAGATTATATATTAAACAGTTGATGCAAGTTCTGAGACCAGAGAATTTGCTCAGAGAAACCCAACTCCGTATTTTCTTTTAATAGTGATGGCTGATTTTTTCTATTTCTTTTCTTTCTTTTTTTTTAATGGTACTGGGAATGGAACCCAGGGTCTCATGAATGTCAGACAAATGCTGAATCATTGAACCACATCCCCAGCCCATTTTTTTTTTCCTGTGTTCAAAGTGACTATACAATATGAATACTGTGAATAATGAAAATCAAGTGTTAATTAAAGCCAATTCTTTGGGCAGGGTTGCCTTTTTTATTGTGTTAATACACAGTTATTTTAAGTGTTTGTAAGTATACAAATATAGTGTTGCATAAGCATCAACAACTATACCCCAAATTTTTTCTGCATCCACAATAAAAACTACTCATTAAGCAATAACTGCCACCTCTCTACCTGGTAACCTCTATTCTACTTTCTATGAATTTGCTATTCTGGGTACCTCATATATGTAGAATCATACATTTGCTCTTCTGTGCCTGCCTTATTTTACTAAGTATAATGTTTGTAGGATCCATTCACGTTGCAGCATATTTGAAAATGTCATTTGTTCTTATGGCAGAATAATATTCTGTTGTTATGTATTTACCACATTTTGTTAATCTGTCTGCTCATGTGGGTGGACATTTGGGAGTTTTTCTCCCTTTTGTCTATAATGAACAATGTTGTTGTAAACACGATTATAGAAAATATCTATTGGTGACCAAGTTCTTGAATTTTAAAAGAGTAGAATTACTGCCAAGCTTTTCTACAGCAGGTGTATTATTTTACATCATGACCAGTAGGACGGATGCTCTAGGATTTTAGGTACATACCATCTTCTCCAGCACTTTCCTTTTTTTGTGTCATAATGGTCATGCACATGGATATGAGGTGGTATCTCACTATAGTTTTGGTTTGTATTTCTATTTTTGATCTGTATGTGGGTTTTATTTATTTATTTATTTTTGTCATTTGTTTTGTATTTGAAGAATTGCCCATTCAAGTCCTATGCCCATTTTTGAGTTGGATTGTCTTTTTGTTCTTAATATATTCTCAGTGTTAATCTGATTTGCCAAGTATTTTCTTCCGTTATAGAGGTTTTCTTTATGCTTTTTTTGGGGCGCGGAGAGTGGAGTATCTGGAATTGAACTCAGATGCTTACCACTGAACCATATTCCCACCACATTTTATTTTGAGACAGGATCTTGCCAAGTTGCTGAGGCTGGCCTCAAACATGTGATCTTACTGCCTTAGCCTCCGGGGTTGCTGGAAATATAGGGGTGTACCACCAAACCTGGCATCTTTTTGATTTTTTGATAATGTCTTTTGGACAAGTGTGTGTGTAGTGCTGGGATTGAACCCAGGATATCATTACCTGCTAAGTGCACACTGTACCATTGAGCTTTTCCCCCCATCCCACCTTTACACAAACATTTAAGTTTGATGAAGTTTTTTATGGTCTTTTGTTTTCAAAGCCATATTCATGAAGTTACTGTTAAATCCAATGTCAAATCTTATGTTTTCTTCTTTTGCAAGCATGTACTGGGGATTAAACCCAGGGGCAATTTACCTCTAAGCTATATTCCCAGTTGTCTTTATTTTTTAAGATAGATTTTAACTAAGTTGCTGAGAGTCTTACTAAGTTGGTGAAGCTGGCTTTGAACTTATTCTCCTCCACAGCTTCCTGAGTTGTTGAGATTACAGGTGTGCACCACCATGCCCAGCATCTTCTTTTAAGAATTACTTCTTGTCAAGTGCCATGGCGCATACATATAATCCCAGCAGCTCTGGAGGCTGAGGCAGGAGGATCCAGGGTTGAGCATCCCTAATCTGAATTATTCCATAATTAGAAAACTTTTATGTCCTCACTTGGCACAACTAGTGGAAAATTTCTGACCTCATGTAACAATTCCCTGTCAGAACATCGGTGCACTAAAAATATTGAATAAAATTACTTTAGACTATGTGTGTATGGGACAAATGAATTTTGTGTTCTGTTCCCAAGATAATCTTTTGATGTATATGTAAATCTTCTAAAACCTGAAATACTCCTGGTCCCAAGCATTTCCATTATGGGGTACTCAACCTGTACCTATTTTCTTTGATATTGTATTGCATTGATAAAATTTGGAATTTATCTACCCTCCTAATTTTCTCTGTAGTGGAAGTATTCTGTATTATGTGTTATCTACTTTATTTGAATTTTGTATTTTTTTGTAATCTTGAATTTTGAAAGCATACTCACTGTTCAATATTTTCTGTGAACTCAAATTCCTAAGAGTTGACATCTATTTTATGTTTTGAAGGTAATGTATTTTGTCTCCTAAGGACATATATTAAGTTGAATGAATAAATGAATGAAAACAGTGCACATAATTATTTTGTTTCATTCAGATAAACAAGTTTTTAATGTTTCTTTTTTTTTTTTAGACTTTGCATCGAAGTGGAAGTTTCATCAATTCTTTGTTACATTTGGAGGAACTGGGATTTCGTAGTGGAACACCCATGATTAAAAAAATAGCTTTTATTGCATGGAAGAGTTTAATAGATAATTTTGCCTTAAATCCAGGTACTCAAAGTTTTTGATTTTTCTACTGGGCATTGTGGCACACACCTATAATCCCAGCAACCCTGGGGGCTGAGGCACAAGTTCAAGGCCAGCTTCTATAATTAGGGAAGCCCTCAGCAATGTAGGGAGAACCTGTTTCAAATGGGAGTGGTACTGGGCATGGTGATGCATGCCTATAATCCTAGTGGCTCTGGAGGCTGAGACAGGAGGATCTTGAGTTCAAAGCTAGCCTCAGCAAAAGCGAGGTGCTAAGCAACTCAGTGAGACCCTGTCTCTAAATGAAATCCAAAATAGGGCTGCGGATGTGGCTCAGTGGTCAACCCCCAGTACCAAAAAAAAGGGGGGGGGGGAACTGGGCATGTAGCTGTGGTAAAGTGCCCTGGGTTCAGTTCACAGGTCTAAAATAATAAAAATTTTTATTTTTCATTGAATTACTTTTAAGCAAGATTAAACAAGTTTTTCTCATTATTTATTATGTCAAAACTTAGGTATTTATTGACTTTATCATAAGGGAATAGGAAGCGATGATAGCCGTGAAATATCAGTTACTAAGCTTTTTTCTATCATTTCTAGACAAGTCCCAAATAGTGGGTTAGCATTAATATATGAAACTGATTTCTTTGAACTTATAACCTTATTGTGCAATGGAGTTGTTTGATGTATTTTTTGAAATACTTTTTATATCTTTATTTATTTTTATGTGGTGCTGAGGATCAAATCCAGTCACATGCTAGGCAAGCACTCTGCCACTGAGCTACACCTTCAATCCTGATGTATGTTTATGAGGAAGAGTATTTGGCCCAAAAGTGGGTCGGAATGAGTACTTAAGTAGGTGACATTTAATCTTAGATTTAATTAGTACTATGTTTATAAGATCTGCTAGATAATGTTATTTTTATCCTGATTTTCCCTGTCAGAGACCACTAATCCCTTTCTTTCCATATTTCTGTATTTCATAAGGTGATTATTTGCATTACTAGTTATATTTATTTAAAATATTGAAATTTTTTTTTTTTTTTAATCCTGAGGCAAGAGGATTGCAGGTGGAGGCCAGCTTAGGCAATTTAGTAAGACCCTGTCTCAAAATAACAACAAAAAGGGCCAGTAATGTAGCTTAGTGTAGAGTGCTTGCCTAGCATGTGTTATGCCCTGGATTTGTTCCATCCCAATGAAAAAAGGATCAAAGTATATTTTGTGGCACTTTTTTTTTTTAATATTGAAAATGAAATCTTGCCTACTTTATTAACTGACGATTATTTAGGTATAGCTAGTTATGTACCCAGCAGTATGAGGCAGTTTTGGGGGATTAAAATCTTTTGGAATTATACTTGGAGCCCCTTTCATGGACAAAAGGATTCAGAAAGGAAAGTGTCCTGGACTGGAGAACTTGTGTTCTGCAGTGATTTGAGTTGATTTTCTTTATTTGTCCTCATGTTAGGGATTTAACTCAGGGGTACTCTATCACTAAGTTATACCCCCAGCCTTTTAATTTATTATTTTGCGATAGTCTCACTAAACTTTCCAGGCTGACCTCACAATTGTGATCCCGTACCTTATTGTGAGTTGCTGGGATTATAGGTGATTAACTTCATTTTCTTGTAGAAGTGTTAGTTGAAATGTCTATATGACAGAGCAGTTTTAAGAAACATTGATGAAAACTATTCCACCAAATACATGACCTTTTAACAAGGTACTTGAGCACATATTACTTAAATGTTTTAATTTATATATCCCTGGTCCAACTTACATGTATATTTCTATTTAAACAACCAGAATTCACTTGTATGCTGAATTTTAACAATCTGATTGTTGTTAAGGTAAGGTAGATCTGAATCTAAGTCTGTTTAGGTTTCTAAAACATAATCAGTGGCCCTAGCAATGTTTTTTTTTTTTTTTTTGTATATATGTGTGTGTGTGTGTGTGTGTGTGTGTGTGTGTGGTACTGGGGATTCAGCTCACGGGAGCCTTATATCCTCAGTACTTTTTTCTTTTCCTTTTATTCAATTTTTGAGCCACAGTCTAAGTTGCTCAGAGTAGCCTTGAACTCCTGGCTGAACCTCCGTATTCACTGGGATTTTATAGGCATGCACCATCACACAGGGTTGCCAACAATGTTTATAATAGTTATTAGTTGATTAAAAGAATGATATCCTGTTTTAACATAATGTAAAAAATGCCTCTATTTCTTTGTTAAATGGATGTAATGCTAACATAGGACTGCTTTTCAATTTTGGCATTTTGCATAGGGTCATATGTTGCTGGGGGTGTCTGCTGTGTTTTAGGAAGTTTGGCAACATCCTAGATTTCAGCTTACTCGATACTAATAACATCCCTCCAGTTGTGATAATCAAAAATACTGTAGACATTATTGGGAAAATCATCCAACACACAGTATCTAATAGACATTGCTTGTTCATATTCATTGGTTTTAGTCCAGCTTACTGAGTTTTATAGGAGTACAAATTTTGGATACAGCAAGAAAATCTGATTTTATTTTTTAAACATGTTGTCTTGCTGTGGAAAAAAGAGACTTATATACTTTATTATTGAAGTTTAATATTCACCTCTGTGCTTATTTTCTTTTAAGATATTCTGTGTAGTGCAAAAAGACTCAAGTTGTTAATGCAGCCTTTGAGTTCCATCCATGTGAGAACAGAAACTCTAGCATTAACAAAGCTAGAAGTCTGGTGGTATTTACTGATGAGACTTGGACCTCATCTCCCTGCAAATTTTGAACAGGTAATATTACACGTGTTAAATGCCACTGTTTTTTTTTTTTTTTTTTTTTTTTTTAATTAATGTGTTCTTCAGATCTTTCCAGTCTAATCTTTTTGTGTTGTTTTTGCTATATATTAGTAGACTAATATATTTTCCCCCCTTAGCTCAGAACTTTATGGTCATTTTCTCCAAAGGGTGTTCTCCAATGGCCTGAAATGGAGCCCTGTAAGACTTGTTAGTCAGCAAACACAATATCTCTTCTTATTCTAGAAGTATTGATTTTAAGATGGATCTCACCTGCAGCCCCCCAAGAGGATTTTTGACATCAGTGAAATGTTAGTCAAGTGCTATACTGGGTAGATAAAAAGTTGGCTCAGTTATTTGTTTTTAGTTATCCTTTGTCTAGGCTACATAGTTATAATCACTCATTTAATTTGGTTATAGGTTTTTTTTAATATAAAATCCTTTTTTTTTTTCAATATACTTTTTAGATATTGATGGACTTTTATTTTATTCATTTATTTATATGTGATGCTGAGAATGGAACCCAGTGCTTTACACAGGCTAGGCAAGTGCTCTACCACTGAGCCACAACACCAGCCCTGATGATAAGTTTTTAAAAATGATATTACAAGCTTGGCATGGTGGTGCATTCCTGTGATCCCAGCAGCTTGGGAGCATCCTCAGGATTGAGAGTTCAAAGCCAGCCTCAGCAACAGGGAGGTGCTTAGCAACTCAGTGAGACCCTGTCTCTAAATAAAAATACAAAATAGGGGGCTGGGGATGTGGCTCAAGCGGTAGCACGCTCGCCTGGCATGCATGCGGCCCGGGTTCGATCCTCAGCACCACATATACAAACAAAGATGTTGTGTCTGCCGAAAACTAAAAAATAAATATTAAAGAATTTTCTCTCTCTTTCTCTCTCCCTCTCCCTCCCCCCTGCCTCTCTCTCTCCCCCCTCTCTAAAAAAAAACAAAAAAACAAAATAGGGCTGTGGCTCAGTGGTTGAGTGTACCTGAGTTCAATCTCCAGTACCAAAAATTAAAAAAAAGATACTACAAATCCATTTGTATTTTAATATCTCTCCTAACATTTAGATAGTAAATTTAATGTTGTCTATATTCTCCCACCCCCTATGGTGAGGTTGAACCCAGGGGTCCTCTACCACTGAGCTACATCCCTAGCCTTTTTTTTTTTTTAAATTTCTCTCTGTTTATTTGAGACAGTGTCTTGCTAAATTGTCCAAGCTGACTTTGAACTTGGAGTCCTCCTGCCTCTTGGCCTTCCAGGCAGCTGGGATTTCAGTCTTAGGCCACCATGTCTGGCCTAAATTTTTTAAAATTTAAATATTTCTATCCTTGTTTTCTCAATTTATTTAAAAAATAAAAAGGAGTAATTATAGCCCGGTATGGTGTTACATATCTATATCCTAGCTACTCAGGAGACTGAGGCAGGAGGCTTGCAAGTTTGAGGCCAGCTTGGACAATTTAATTAGACCATGTCTCATAATGAAAAATAGAAAGGTTTGGGGATGTAGCACAGTGTTCAAGTGCTTTCCTACCATGTGTGAAGCCCTAAGTTTAATCCCCAGTACATGGGGGAAGGAAGTTATTTTTATGTAGCTTATTTATATGTAGTTATTTATATTTATATTAAATAGCTTAGTGGTAAAGTGCCCCTGGGTCCAATGTATAAATTTATATGTATAAATTTATGTCTCAAATGTAGAACTGAAATATATAGATAATACACATTTAGGACAAATACAAATTTAGAAAGATCTTATTTTCTTCAATTCTGGTTTTAAGTCTGTGTAAGAAAACCATCAATACAATTCAATACAGCTTGAGTTTCCCTTATCTGAAATGCATAGGATCAAAAAGGAAGAATATTTCAGATTTTGAATTATTTTTATATATAGAATGAGATATCTGAGGATAGGACTCAAGTCTCAACATGAAATTTATTTCTTTTATGTTACATGGTGAGACTAGTTTGGTATGAAATTTTCCAACATTGGTATCCTCGGGCTCAGAGTTCTGGCTTTTGGAGCTTCTATAAATTTTTGAATTAGGGTGCTCAGTGTCCATATCAAAAGAATTAAAATTGCTCTAAATAGAAATTTATGTAAGGCTTTTAAAAATATGACACTCAAGGGCTGGGGTTGTGGCTCAATGGTGGAGTGCTCACCTAGCACTTGCGAGGCCCTGGGTTCGATACTCAGCACCATATAAAAATAAATAAATAAAATAAAGGTATTATGTCCAGGTACAACTAAAAAATAAATATTGAAAAAAATGACACTCGGTTTAAAGATATATATTTATTCTTCTTTCACCCAATAGGTTTGTGTTCCTCTGATTCAGAGTACAATTAGCACTGATTCTTGTGTCTTACCTCAAGGCAATTCATCTCGTATAGCTACTTCTCCAGGTTTAAGTCCTATGACTCCTGTACACAAAGGTAAGGAATAGACTTCCTTTTTTCTCTTTTTGAAAAGATTTTGAAGGCTTTTTTACTTAGTATCTTTCATATGAAGTGAAGTATTTTATCATTTTTTGATCTGTTATTAAAAAAGACATTTTGTTTTTCTTTGTTACTGATTACTGTGTTAAGTTGCAGAGTTGTGGTTGGAAAAGATGAATGTGCTTTACCTACAACTCAGGATAGCTAATAGAAAGTAACATAAAATTCCGTGTTTTTTTCCATAGCAGAATCTCGGAGCTTTGATTAAAAACAACAGACTTTTGCAGATAAAAGAAATGTGACTTAGCATACAACATAAACAGTTAATTGCTATTACTATTTTGTTACGCATTGAGTGTTTTTCATATTTAAGTACCAGAAAGAACTATATATGCATAATTATAAGGTGTGGATTACTGCCTGAAATTTTAAGTTGTATTTGTTTTGAAAATTACATTGTAATGATATAAAGTACATGCATTTTGGTAGCTAATATAAAATAACCTTATATAAATGGACTTTTCTCTCTCTCTCTCTTTTTTAAGGTGCTTCCCCCTATGGAGTTCCTGGAACTCCACGCATGAACATGAGTTCAAATTTAGGTGGAATGGCCACAATCCCTTCCATTCAACTTTTGGGACTTGAAATGTTGCTTCATTTTTTGATGGGTCCAGAAGTATTGAGTTTTGCTAAGCAGCACAAACTTGTGTTGAGCTTAGGTATTTAATTATTTTTAAAATTATTTATTAAAACAATCCAGGACTTGCTGTATTGGTAAAGAAAGGTCTTATTTTTCTCCGTAGCATAATGCAATTGTTTGTGAAATAAGTGCAAAGTGTTTTAATAAAAATCACATCCATTCAGACCATCTAAAATTTTATATTGAGAATGCTGTCATATCTTTCGTTTTATATAATTATCTTTTTGTTCTTCTTGTTTTAGAGCCACTTGAACATCCATTAATCAGCAGCCCTTCATTTTTTTCCAAGCACGCACATACACTTATTACTGCTGTGCATGATAGCTTTCTTGCAGTTGGAAAGGATGCTTCTGGTAAATATTTAAGAAAAAATTTTTTATCATTCAAAACTATGTTTCAAAAGAAAGTAAAATAGAGCCAGGAACAGCGATTCTTGCTTGTAATTATAAGCAGCTTGGGAGGCTGAGGCAGCACAATCAGAAGTTCAAGGCCAACCTGGACTTGAGACCTGGTCTTTCAATTTAAGAAGAGAAAGGTTAGGGATATAACTTATTGGTAAAATGCCCCTAGGTCCAATCCTCAGTACCAAGAAAAATAAAAGAAGGTAGAATGGTAAATATTCTATGTGGTACCTCTTACTAGTCAGATTGGGCACGGATACTTAATTGATTTAATCTTGAAAGCAGCCATTTTACAAATGAGGAAACTGAGCTGTTCAGATAATGTCAGTAACTTGGATAAAGTCACATAGCAGATAATAGGGCTATGATTTATGCCTAGGCTCTGTGGCTCTAACATGTAAATGAATGCATTTAAACCCCTGGGTCCATAGTCTAAATGTTTTAAAACATTTTAAAAATGTTTTAAAAATTGATCGTATGGGGAAAAAAAAAAATTGATCGTATGGCCAGGCACAATGGTGCGTGCCAGTTTTCTAGCTACTATGGAAGCTGAGGCAGGAGGACTGCAAATTCCAGGCCAGCCTGGGACACTTATCAAGACTGTCTCAAAAAGTAAAAGGAGCTGGGAATGTATCTCAATGGTAGAGTACCCTGGGTTCAATCCCTGGTAGTACCATAAAACAAAGAAGAATATTTTGCCATTTAGGTGATTGAAGAATGAATTATGTGTTTTTTTTCTCTATTGGTTTTCAGATATTCTTAGGATTCATTTTTTTGTCCTTTCTTATAACTAATGAGTCTTACAGAGAATTCAGAATATAAGAGTTACCCTTATTTGTATGACTTGATGTTTAAAATGTTATAGCTTTATAAATTTGTTGTAATGAATATTATAAGGGAATTATCACCTTGGTAAATATTGCTCAATTTATTTCTTCTGTTTTATATGGAAGAAAGGGAGAGCCTTTGTATTCATATATACACTATTAAAAGTATTTTGTTTGACAGATGCAGTTGTCAGTGCTGTCTGGAAGGAGCTAATTAGCTTGGTGAAATCAGTTACTGAATCAGGTAAGCACTATTACATTGATGAAATGATTTTTTTCTCCAAAACAAAAAGCTGTAATATAATGATTGACTGTGATAAATGCTAAAAATTATAAACTTCTCTTGATGCATTCAGCCTCTGCATTTTTTTTTTTTTTTTTTTTTTGGTATTCATACATTAAATTGGCATCTTTCTCGTTTTTCTAATTCTTCTCCCTCACCTTTTCCCATCTGTTACATTGATAGGATTTCTTCCTCCCCCTTAGTAATATGTAAAGTTTGCTCATATATAAGGCGGGATGCCTAACATGAAATTTTTAAAATATATCCTTTAAGTATAATAATATCTAGGTAATTAACATCTCTTCATCCCCAAATATGCTGTTAGCTTCCATCCTTCTGGTAGAGATGTGATGTTTTACTTGTGATTTTCTAGATGTGTGTTGTGAAGAAAGCATTTTGTAGATGGGTTGTAGTCATCAAGATTGCTGAAATATATTCTCTGGTAATTCTTTCAAAAAGGGTACACAAATTAATTTTCTAAATTGTTTAACATCAGAAAATATCTTTGTTTTACCCTCAAAATTAAATGCTAATTTGACTGTATACAGTATTCTAGGTTGAAAACTTTCTTCCTGAAGAACTTTTATGGTGTTGTTCCATTTACTTCTAGTATCCATGGTGCCCAGTGATAAATCTTCTGTCAGTCTGATTCTTGTTCCTCTGTAGGCTATTTTCTCTCTAGAAGCCTTTATGATTTTCTTTTTATTACTAGAATTTTAAAACTTCGCCAAGACATGTCTAGGGGCGAGTCTGTTTTCATTAATCCTGCTTGATATATTTGGTGAGCTTTCTATTTGGTGAGCTTTCACTACCTTTCTTTCCTTCCTCCCTCCCTCCCTCCCTGGGATTGAACTCAGGGGTACTCCACTACTGAGCCATATCCCCAGCCCTGTTTTGTATTTTATTTAGAGACAGGGTCTCACTGAGTTGCCTAGCACCTCACAGTTGCTGAGGCTGGCTTTGAACTAGAGATTCTCCTGTCTTCAAGCTCTTGGGATTACAGGCATGCACCACCATGCCTGGAAAGCTTTCTTCAGTTATTTCCTTAATTATGTCCTCAGCACCATTCTCTTTACCATCTTTTTCTGGAGTTTCTAACAAAGACGTTTCTGAAGTTAGTGTTAGTCTGTCTTTATTGATTATTTACTTGGCCATCTGTATTGTATCCTTAGAGAATTCTTCTAGTTGATTACATAGATTGCTCATTCGTTCTTCAAGTATGTCCATTCTACTACTAAGATCATTTGTTGAGTTTTTGGTTTATAAGACACCTACATGGAAGTTTTTTTATTTCCAGTCTTGGATCTCTCTGAAGGTACTGATCATATTTCTACTAAAATTTTCTTTAGTTCCTTGGGCTGTTTCTTTGGATGTTAGCTCTTCTACTTCAAGAATAATATCTATTTTCTTTAAAACCTTGGTGATTCCTGATGGATCATTCAAGTATATACATAAATGTTTTTATGCTCATTTATAACTTATCTCTGATTTTGTGGGCAAGGTTGGGAGATCAGACAGTCCATCCTACTTCCTTGACTTCTGAGCCTAGCTAATTTCTTTCCCTTCTGGGTTTTGTATACCATCTGGGGTTTCAGCTGCTTTTTCTTCTCATAGAGTCCCAAACCGAGTAACCAAAGGCAATTTCTTTAAATCCACATAAGGTCTCTCATTTTTTCTCTGTCTGGGAGGTAGTCATTGCCTTTTTTACTTCAGAGACTTTCCTTCTTCTTCCTCTGACTCAGAATCCACTATCAAATAAATTAAAATAATCTTCACATCATCCCTAGTTATTTCCTCAGCTCTGTGCTTTGAATCTACCACAGTAAGACCCTGAAAGGTTTAGTCTTGTTCCTCACATAATAGAGAATTATTCTCTCCTTTCTCTTCTTTCCTCTGAGGTTTCTCCCTTCTCCCCCTCTGAGGCTTCTCCTTTTTCCTCTAACTTGGAGGTTTTGTTTTCCTTCCATTCTAAAAACTCTTTCTCCTGAGTCTCATAAGGTCCTCCCCGCTGGCCTTGTAACTTATAGGAAACTTGAAGCCATCATTTGCTGTTCCTCCAGCTTTACTGTTTGAATCTATTAGAGTTTTACTCCACCTTCCTGCTTCTATTAGGAACAGGATAAATCTCTGCAGAACACGACTTGATCTATTGTGCAGTAGAGTCTCTATTTGAGAAGAAGGGATTCATTGCAGAGGATTCAATGAAATGATTTTCTATAATCCAGTGAATTGTTTGTCTTTCATGTATAAAATTAATTTGAAAATTGTATTGTATCATTTTCCATGCGACCTGCCACCCCTTCTTTTGCAGTCCTGGGGATTGAACCTAAGCTACAGTCCCAACTTTAGCACCAAGCTATAGTCCCAACCAACCCATTTTATTTTGAGAAAGGGTCTAACATCCAGACTGGCCTGGGAATTATGCCATCCTTCTGTGTCCCAAGTAGTTAGGATTACAGATGTGTGTGTCTGTGCTTGGTTTTCTCATTAATTTACCTTAAAGCATTTATTGCTGATTTGGAAAAAAATTACTGTTTAGTAACATTTAAAGCTTTCTATGCACATATATTAATCTCTAAAATATGTATTTAGACCTATACTCTTCCTTTTGCTTTTTGATAGGTAACAGAAAAGAAAGATCAGGGTCTGAAGTTCTGACCCTCCTACTAAAATCTTTGGAAAGTATAGTAAAGTCAGAAGTATATCCTGTGTCAAAAACATTGGTAAGTATATGTGTAAATTGAACTTTGAATAAATCATATTTGAAATGAATTTTTGGATAGGACAAATTTTCAGAGACTTTGTTACATTTTTGGGGGCAGTGCTGGGGATTGAACCCAGGGCCTTGTGCATGCGAGGCAAGCAGTCTGCTAACTGAGCTATATGCCCAACCCTCCAGAGAGACTTTTTTTAAAAAAAATACTTTATTGTTGATGGCCCTTTATTTAATTTTTTTATATGATGCTGAGAATCGAACCCAATGCCTCACACATGCTAGGCAAGTGCTCTACCACTGAGCCACACCCCAGCCCCTGGAGAAACCTTTTTAATCAAGTATTTATCAGCAGTTTTGTTCTGTAATAAATACCCTTCTATTGATATTAATCATTTAAAAAATAATAAAGTAAATGACTATATTAGCCACTAACATGTTCAAATTAATAAAAAGAATGTGCTATACTGAGAAAATGAGGTAAAGGGCATGAAATTTGAACTGAAGAAACTGAATGTTTTCTAATACAATGACAGGAGTGCTGAATACCACTAATGGTTAGCTGGTGAATACATTATTGATTAGTACTAGGATTGTAATCCAGGGCCTCAAGAATAGCAGACAGAAACAGTCTACCAATGAGTTATATCCCTAGCTTATTTTTAGTTTGAGACAGCATCTCAGTTGCCAAGGTTGTTTTAGAACTTTTGATCCTCCTACTTCAGCCTTCTGTTAACTCTTTAACCCTGATAATGACATTGGTATTGAATACATTTTTAGTTTTTTTGGTACAGTTCTGGGGATTGAGCCCAGAGCCTGTTAAACTAGGAAAGCACTCTACCACTGACATACACCTCCAGCTCTTAAATACATTTTAAAAACATACAGTAGTGAAGGAAAGGAGAAAGTAAATAGTATGTAGTTGCTGGATTTTTTTGTTAAGTTTTTAATCACAGACTGGGAATTGAACCCAGGGCACGCTTGTCATCAAGTACATCCAGGTCTTATTTTGAGAAACACTGCCTTCAAATTTACTCTTCTCAAACTTGCCTTAGCCTCCTGAGCTGGTATTATAGGCATATGGGACAGTGCTTGTCTTGTATATAAATTTTATAATAGCCACCCAAAAAATGATACCTTAGTTTAAATTCCTTATGTTTTCTTTATGTACAGTGACAAGTAAATGTACCATGGCAGTATAGCTTGTGGTTTATAGCAAGGACTGTAGAGCAGATTTGGTTGAATCTCCGACCAACTGTTTTTTATTTATTTTATTATGGTGGTACCAGGGAATGAACCCAGGACTTTGCATATGCTAGGCAGAAGCTCTACAAGTGAACTATACTCCCAACCCCCCAACTGTGTTTTAGAGTAAATTTTCATAGTTTATCTACCCTTTTGGTCCCACTGATTGGTTTATAAATAGGCTGTGTAGTATTGATAGGTAATTAAATTAGTTAATACATGGAAAGCACTAGGGGTCAAGGCTCAAAATAAATGCTTTTAATGTGTTTCAAAGAAGAATATGTAAAATTCTGTTGTAATTATTTGTTATGTTACTGTGACACTTAAGTTATGCCGTCTATGTTAATAGCAGTGTAGGAAGATTTTTTTAAGAGAGCAGTTTGGTAGGTTTATTCGTATTTGAGTTAGCAATTTTAAACCCAGTTTCTAATTAATAGTCCTATGAAATGTATGCTTTTGGCATTGAATACGAAATGCATTTCAAAATTTTCTTTTATCAGTACAAAATAAGAGCTTCAGCATTCATTTTTAGAAAAATGGATGAATAAACAAATTATAGACATTGATTCATTTAGCAGCATCAGTATATATTAATGAAATACATTAATGATTTACACATTTCACATTGTGAAATGATTAAATATCATTAAATATCCTCATTGGTTTATAGTAGTGTTCATATGGAGTTGGGGTTTAGCTTAGTAGTTCAACCTGGGTTTATTTCCCAGCACCACAAAGAAAGCAAAATATGTGTAGGAGTTTATTTCTTTCTGTGTACCTACACATGCAGACATTTAGAAGATCTGTGAAAATACACTCCAAATTGAACGCATTATCTGTAAAGTACTTACTGTGCACTTTTCATATTTACGTATTTGAAATTTTTAGCTTAATGGAAATATATATTAATCAACATTATTGAAAGAACATACCTTGTAATGAATTATTAAAAGTACAGTTAAAAGAATAGTATTTTACTAAGTAAATAGACTTCTTTTTTTTTAAGCATTACTGGAGATTAATTCTAAAGCCTTACATGTACTAGGCAAGCACTCTACCATTGAGTTAACACCCCCAGCCCATAAGGTGATGTTTTTAATGGCTGACTACTGTGATCTTTTCTCTTTCTTAGGTCCTCATGGAAATTACAATTCAAGGACTTCCTCAGAAAGTATTAGGTTCACCAGCATATCAGGTTGCTAATATGGATATTCTTAATGCAAGTATCTTAAATGTAATGCTATGATAAAGATTGGCCAAAAAAAAAAATCCATGATATTTCCATATTTTCTTATATAAAGGCGATACTTGGGTTTTAAGATTCTGAGAGTATCGGATTTGAAATATGTTGACTGACTTAAAAACAAACAAGCGGTAATCATTAAGGAATTAAATAGCTTATATATCAATAGGTGAAAATACTTTCCTGGCTTAAATAATTGACCCCAGAAGGAAAGATTTCTATTCATTTATACATAATAGAGCTTAATATTGTGAAATGACATTACCTACATGGTGTAGGTGGGGATTTAGTAAGTTCTAGCTTTTTAAATGTCTGGAATCTCACCAGTTCATTATTTCTCTTGTAGAAGGTATAGCTCTCATTTAGAACAGAAAGATACTGGGTTTTATTTGTTGTGATACCTAAATAAAATTTAACTTTTTTATTCTAAGACAATCATCATTTCTTAACTGGTTATAGCAAACAAGTATACTATGTTTTGTAATTGATTAAGATTAACTTCATTTTCTCCTTTTTTCAGGGAACTCCAGCTTTGTTCTTAATTCAATTAATTTTCAACAATAATCTCCTGGAATGTGTAGCAGATGAAAGGTAAGTTTGTACTTTAAATAACCTGTAGGCTGAGGAAGGAGCTTAGTGGTGGAATGATGATGTAGCATGCAAAAGGTTCTTGGCGTAGTTCCCAGCTTTGCAAAAATATAAATAAGCAATATGAAGTTGGATATGATGATGCACACCTGTAATCTCAGTGAGTCAGGAGGCCAAGGCAGGATGTTTGCAAGTTGGAGGCCAGACTGGGCAACTTAGTGAGACCATGTCTCAAAATAAAAAAGAGACAGGGTGGGGATGGAGCTCAGTGGTAGAGTGGTAGAAACTTTATGAGGTTTCTTATGGAAAGATTATATAATGAATAAGATTCTTTTATTAAATAATTTTCATAAATAAGACTTCGAATTCATTTTTTATTTTCTTTGTAATTATTTTTAGAATTTGTTAATGTGCAGTTAATGTATTTCAGCAAAAGTATTCAATAATACATTCTTTTTTGTTTTTACTTCAGGTTTTTTCTCAATCTTGAAACACTTGTAGGTTATGTGCTTTCTGGTCCAACTTCACCATTAGCTTTTAGTGACTCAGTATTAAATGTTATTAATCAAAATGCAAAGGAATTGGAAAACAAGGAGCATCTCTGGAGAATGTGGAGTATTATAGTCACGCCATTAACTGAAATGATTAATCAGGTATGATGTAAATTTGCTGTATATTTCCACTCAAATTTAAGAGACTGTTTTCTTTTTATGATATGAATAGAAGCTTGACTTTGTGTGTGTGTGTTGAAGGGAGGTTCTGGGGATTGAATCTGGGGTCTCGTAATTGCCAGGGCAGCATTCTCCCACCGGGGTACATCCATGGCCTTTTGCAGTTGTTGCCCAGGCTGGATGTGAGTTTGCAGTTCTCTTGCTTAGTTGGGTTTACAGGTATGGGCCACCATACCCAGCTAGAACTTTGAATTTTAATGGAAGATATTAAATATTTTTTGTGTGTGTGCTGTTGGTTAATTTTCTGTCTACTAGATTGATTTCATTGTGTTTTTTATTTTTTTGTTTTTTTTCTGCCTTATTTACCAAAGAAAGCTAACCTTACTTAATAGGGGTCTAAGAGCTTTGTTTTCTCCAGTAGTGTTTGGAGAAATATATATAATACATACAGATTCTTAAATATTTTGGGTCCTTTGAGTAGTTACACCAATAGGTAGTAATAATGATCATCTTGAATGTTATATATTCTGGTGAAGCCATATTACTTCAAAGCCATTTAACATTCTCCTAAGTTAGAGTTGATTACTATTTTTTATACTTAAATACTAAAAAGGTGTTGATACTGACAGAACAGGGAGCACAAGTTCACTTTCATGGACAGATTCTCTGGACTAATATTGCTAAGCACAAAATGATACCACAGAATTTTTTACATTAGTATGTCTACTCAGACTAGCAAACTATTAAACATATTCCTATTGAATAATAATAGCTTATATATTTCTAAATAGCTTCCCACTGTTTGAAGGATAGCAGAGGTCCTTGTTTGAATGCTGTATATGTATAATAACAGATTTAGGGAGTTGTTTCTGGGTTTCTTTATAGGATCTAAACTCTGTGCTTTCATTTCCCACAGATCATTTATTTATTTTTGTGCTGGAGATAGGGCTGACGACCTACCCAGCACTCTACAACTCTCATAGTCGTAGAAGCCAAAATTCAAAATGAAAGTGTTATATGGTTCTTTCTAGAGCTCTGAGGGAGAATCTGATCCATTTTTCTCAGCTTCTGATAGCTGGTAGTCTTTGACCTTCTTTCTTTTGTGACCACATGGCTTCAGTCTTTTCCTTGATTTTTTCACATGGTATTCACCCTCATGTTATCAAGGTGTCCAGATTTCTTCCTCTCATAAGGATACCATTCATTGGATTCAGGATCACTCTAATGCATTATGACTTTGTCTTAACTTGATTATATCTGTAAAGATCTTATGGACAGATAAGTCATATTCATAGCTACCAAGGGAAAGGAGTTTAAAAAATCCTTAATGCTATTAGCACGGGACACAGTTTTATACCTGTTAGAAATACTTAATATTACTAGGTAGATGAGGATAACTTTTTCATTTTTCTTTTTTCAGACCAATGAAGTGAATCAAGGTGATGCATTAGAACATAATTTTAGTGCCATCTATGGTGCACTTACTTTGCCAATCAACCATATTTTTTCAATACAGAAATTTCCTCTGGTAAGACCGTGTCATATTTTTATGTGTAAGGAATTTGTGCTTTTCTAAAAAAATATTGCCTTTTCAACGTTTATAATGAACTCAACAGTAATTTTGCCTAAGATAGGATTCATACAACTTTATTAGCTTGGGGGAAAAGAAAATGGTGAAGAGAGAAGTTTCTTTTTATCTTTGATTGCTGATACTATGGTTAGAACTTTTTGGGAATTGGGGAAAAGTTATTACCTATGCTAGACTCTTCTTTGACACCTTAAAAGATATATTGATTCTATTTGCTATTGGATAAAGAGGTATATATTAATAAAATTTCTTGATTATTAGGCTACCATGAAGACTTTACTTAGAAGTTGGTCAGAATTATATAGAGCATTTGCTCGCTGTGCTGCCTTGGTGGCAACAGCAGAAGAGAATTTGTGCTGTGAAGAACTTTCTTCCAAGATAATGTACAGTTTGGAAGATGAATCGCTTTCAGTGAGTTTGTTTTGGTACTGGCCTGTTATTTTAGTTGTTGTTTGTATTTAAGGAAATTATTTTCAAGTAAATGGAGGTAACACTTTTGAACTGTCATTTACTAATGTTTCTCTTTTATAAGAGACCAAGTTAATACAGAAAACAAGTACTTCTTTGTGAAACAGTTTTTTTTTTTTTTTTTTTTTGGAAGGAGGGTCCTCTCAGGTCCATGTACCAGGATCATTAAGAGCTCTTTTACTATTTTACTATGTACTTCCATGTGGCATTTCAGAATAACAATACAAGGCGTAGGCTGTTCTGTGTACTTTCTCATATCTGTTAGATGTCAATCTGGAAGTTTTTAGTTTTTTGTTTGTTTTTGGTGGGGGCAGGGGTGTGCTCATGGTTGAACCCATGGGCACTTTACCACTACATTCCCAGTCCATTTAATATTTTATTTTAAGACAGGATCTTGCTAAGCTGTTGAGGGTTTTGTTAAGTTGCCCAGGCTGGCCTCAAACTTTGATTTCTCCTATCTTGGGTTCCTGAGTCACTGGGATTACAGGCATATGCAGCCAAGCCCAGAAGTTTTTAATGTTCAAAGTAGTCTTTGAGGTTGATTGGTTTTAGGATCAGCTTATAATTCGAAAACTTACATATCTTCAAGTTCCTTATATAATGTGACTTAATAATATTTGCATATAATGTATACACATTTCCCTATGTTCTTACAATCATCTAGAATATTTATGATACCTAATGCTATATAAATAGTTGTCATACTGTATTAGGGAATAAAAGCAAGGAAAAATATCTTAAACAGACTTAGTTTTTACTCCCTGTCCACCTGAAGTATAGTTGTACATAATTTAATGAGGGGATACCTTCTGAAATGTGTCCTTAGGGCAGTTTCATCATGTGAAAATCAATAGAGCAAACTTAAAGCTAAATCATGTAGAAAATAGAAGTAGACTCTAATGATAAAATGTGTAGTGTAGCAAATACATAAGCTGCTAGCAAACATGGATATCAAGTATTATGTCCTCTACATATATATGCTATACTTTTGTGTTACTGGTAGCACAGTATGTTTCTTTATACCAACATCATCATGAGGATGTAATGGGTTACACTATTGACTGCTGCATTGTCAACAGGAGGTGATAGGAATTTTTCAGCTTTTGGTAATCTTATAGGATTTTTGTCAAATTAAGTGATCTGTCATTTACCTATAACCATCAAGCAAGGTATGAGTGTGTCTTTGATATGTTGTTGGTTGAAACTGTATGTGCAAAACCCATGGATACAAAGGACTGACTTTTGTGTCTGTGTGTGTGTGCAGGGGAGAGGGTACTGGGAATTGAAACGGGACTTTACCGTTGAGTATATTCTTTTATTTTTAAGAAAGTGTCTCACTAAGTTGCTGAAGGTCTCCCTAAGTGGTTGAGGCCAAGCTTGAAGTTGGGGTTCTATTATTTCAACCTTATGAATCACTGATAGGCCACCATCCTTAGCCAAACAACTGACTATATAAAAGTCCCTTTTCACTCTTTTCTCATCTTCAAAATTAAACGTATTACTGTTGCCAGTAATTTCTTACTTGAGATACTACTTTTAATTTTTATTCTGTCACATTTGAAGTCCATAACATTTATCCTAGGAGATAAAAACCTGGTAGGATTTCATCCCACACATTCTTACGGGGCTTGCCACATTTCAGGTTTTGTTGAAATTTTTAAATTTTTAGTTAGAGTACCTACATTATTCTGAAGGATTCCATAAGACCTGAGAAATCTCTCCCCCTCCCCCACAAATTAAAGATGCTGCTGACATAACCTGTTTAATGTTTTCTGGTTTTGCTGCTTAGCTTTGTTTTTTGTGTTCCATTTTTTTCTCCTTGTTTTACTTTATATTTTATTTCTGAGGGAACAGAATAATTGTCAACTACTTTTAGATACATGACCACTATCTTCCTGTCTTTGTGTAAATAATTGGTTGGTTAGCAAACTTAGGGATAAAAAAAATATGTATCACAGTTGTATTATATCACTTTATTGAGATATGTTTTACATATGAAAAGTTGTACAACTGAGTGTCCTGGCACATGCGAGTAATCCCAGATGCTATATTCAATCCCTGATTCTGGATAAGAAAATGTAAAAAGTTGTTGATACATAATAACAACCATCGTCATGACGTCATAAATATTCATTACCTCCAAAAGTTACCTCACATCTAGAGAAGGGGGCTCATGAACTGCCCTGGTTGGCACGGAACTCCTGGGCTCAAGCTGTTGTCCTGCCACAGGCTCACAAATTAACTATAGGTTGGTAGTTTAATTTTTTGAACACTCTTTATACTATTGTCTCTAATAAGTGGACCATTTTATATTCCCACAGTGTACAGTGTTCCTCCTCTTCCTACTCAAAATAGAGATTTGATTTTTTTTTTTTAATAGAGATTTGAATTTTTTTTTCTTTTTAAAAATAGCTACCCTAACAAATATAAGGTGATGTCATGGCTTTGATTTGCATTCCCTGATACTGGTATTGATTGCCTTTACATGTATAACTGCTGGTTGTTTGTATTTATCTTTTGTCCCCCACCCCCATATTGGGTATTGAACCCAGGTCCTTGCTGACGTAGGCAGGTGCTCTACTGCTGAGCTCATACCCCAACTCTTTTTTAGTTTTTATTTTTATATAGTCTCAATAATTTGCCCAGATGGACCTCAAACTTGAAATATTCCTGCCTCAGCCTCCTGAGTTGCTGAAATTATAGGTAATCTAATCACCACCTTGCTGGGCTGTGTCTACTTTTGAGTAATGTGGTGGGTTTTTTTGTTGGTTTGGTATCACTGGGATTACAGGTGTGCACACCACCACATCCAGCTTGAGGAATGTTTATCTAGGTTTTCTGCTCATTTTAAAGTTTGGTTATTTGTTTTCTTAATATTGGGTTATTGGAGCTCCTTATGTAATTTAGATATTCAACCACTTATCAGGATACATGGTTTGCAAATATATTTTTCCTTAAATTGTCCCTTCATGCTGTTGTTTCTTTTGCTGTGCAGAATCTTTTTAGTTTGGGGTAATCCTGTTGGTCTGTGATTGCTTTTCTTGCCTGTGCTTTGGATGTTATGCAGGAAATCATTAGCAAGACCAATGTGAAGAAGTCTTTCCCATTTTGTTTTATTAGTATTAATGTGTTAGGTATTAGTATGTACGTTATTCCATTTTGAGTGAACATATGGTGTGAGATAAGGATCCAATTTTATTCTTCCTGTGTTTTTTTGTTTTTCCTTGCATAATTTATTGAAGAGACCATCTTTTCCCCTTTGTGTATTGTCAGTGCTCTTGTTGTAGGACCACCCATGTGAGAATTTATTTCTGGTCTTTTTGTTCCATTGGTCTATATGTCTGTTTCATTGCTAATATGAAACTGTTTTGATTACATAGTTTTGTAGCAATATATTTTCAGTCAGGAAGTGTGATGCTTCTTGTTTGTGGCATTTTTCCTCAAGATTGGTTACTTTGGCCCTTCAGGTTCTTTTGAATGTTTTAACCAAATACCATTGGTTCAGGCCCAGAGGTGCACATCTGTAATCACAGCTACTAGGGAGGCTGACAAAGGAGTATTGCAAGATTCAGGCTACTCTCAGAAACTTGCCAAAACCCTAAGTAACTTAGTAAGATTTGGTTTCCAAATAAAAAATTGAAAGGGCTGGGGATACAGCACCCCTAAGTTTAATTTTCAGTAATAACACACAAAAGGAAAACATAATGCCATTGGGATATTAAGGTAGATTACATTGAATCTGAAGACCACTTTGGGTAGTATAGATATTTTAACAATGTTAATTATTCCATCCTTAGAAAATAGTTGTGAAGTAAAGTACTTGCTGAATTGTAAACTTGTATTATTACAAATGTATAGTTTAATACTAACCTTTTTATTAAGTAATTTTTTGGGTTCTCTGTAAAGTTTAGGATCATTCTGTTGTCTTTGAAGTTTGGGAATTTTACTAGTCTGTTTTTAAATATTTAGTGAACCTTTTCAATATAAAGAAATGCGCCTTTAGGTCAGGAAAATAGTGCCTTGCTTTACTGGTGCCCTTCAGTTTTTCTATTTGAGTAGTATCTGCCCCTGCTTTCCCCCCCTCCCCCCCCATATACTTTAGACTGTTTTTAGACCTTTTGACTTTGTCTTCCATGTTCTTTTCTTTTTCCACATAGTTTTGGGTGTTTTGTTTTCTTTTGCTTTGTTTACTGCTTTCTGGGAGCTTGATATTTCTAGTTGTTCCCATTCCTTTGCCGTATAAATGTTTAGAGGAGTATTAAACTGTTTTGATTTACATTTAATGTTTTAAATGAATATAATTTCCCTCTTAACATGAGAATATTGTGCTTCTTGCATTGACTCCTGGTGGATTAAAGTTCAGTTTGTATTTAGCAAATTTTCATCATGGTGCTTGGTGTTGATAGTAGGAATGTATTTTCTAATACAAGAGACGAGTGTTTTTCTAGCTTTAATGGTAAAATTGTGGTTATAGTAATCTTCTGCTTTATAATTGTGAGCAAGGAGGAAGCTCCTAAATTTAACATCTTTGCATCTTTTCTTCTAGTATGTAGCCTCCCATTTGAACTGACCCTTCTGTACGATTTTCATACATAGCAGAGGCATTATTTTCTTCCTCTGGTACTTACATTTTATGGCACAGGCTGTCTTTAGGGCAGATATGGCAGTTAATCTAGTTAAGTGAATAAATGGAAGGTAATGGAGGATAAGGAGAGAAGAAACACTGGCCAGTTGTTTTATACATCTCTAAATGCAGTACAATTTTTTGTTTTGTTTTGTTTGTTTTTGGTACCAGGGATTGAACTCCAGAGCACTCGACCACTGAGCTGCATCCTCAGCCCTTTTTTTATATTTTATTTAGAGATAGGGTCTCACTGAGTTGCTTAGAGCCTTGCTTTTGCTGAGGCTGACTTTGAACTTGAAATCCTCCTGCCTTAGCCTTCTGAACCTGTGGAATTACATGCGTGTGCCACTGCACCCAGCTAAATACAGCAAACTTAACTTTTAATCAACCATTTAACTATTTTGTAAATATCACTGTGACTTCTGTTACTCTGAGGTTCCATTTGGAAAGTTGTTATTTTTGAAGTGTTCTCTTTGGCTTATCAGCCATGGGTTTTCTTTGTTCTACTTTTAGTTTGCTGCTGCTCCTCACCTCCATAAATTGGTAGTCTTTTGAGTCTGTGGACCTTTTTTTTATTTCAGTTGGATTGGGGGAGAAAGAAAGAATATTGGTGGAACTTAAAAACATTTTTCAAAAAAAATTTAAAAACTTTGATTGTTGTTTCCACTGGGATTTATGAATACATCATTACTTTTTTAATTTTTAAGAAGAATTTGATAAAGAATGCAATTACTGGGGCTAGGAATGTAGCTCAGTGGTGTAGCGCTTTCCTAGCATCTGATGTCTTGGGTTCTTTCCTCAGCACTGGCCCCCAAGAATCTCATTTTAAGCTTTGTGCTTCCACTCTGAACATATGAGGTATTGAATGGGCATCTTAAAGAGATGATTTTTTTTCCCTGAATCTTGATAATAGTATTTGGTACACAACAGTAACCGGGAAATGTTTATAACCATATACTTTTACCTTATATGGAAAAAATTATGGAATGTGTATTATTGTGGTATATATGGGAGAAAGTCATGCTTTGTTACTGCCGCTGCTTATTATTGTTGGATAGCTAGTAGCTGGAAGTTTCTAATCATGATACTTTTCTTCCCTAGAATTTGTTGTACTTGGACAGGATTGTTCATATTATTACTGTAATGGTTGATTGCATCGATTTTTCACCATATAATATTAAATATCAGCCCAGCGTTAAATGTAAGTATCTTCATTACATTTATTTGTTGCAATATTTCATCAACTACCAAATAGTTCTCTATTAGGATTTTACCCTTTACTTTATCATTATTCATTTATTTATTTATTTTAAATATATGTATATTTTTAGTTATAGATGGACATAGTGACTTTATTTTTATGTGGTGCTAAGGATCGAACCCAGTGCCCTACCACTCAGCCACAACCCCAGCCCCTCAATTTTTTATTTTATTAAATGTTCTAATTTTTAAAATCTTTATTTTAAAATAATCATTTAATTGGTATTAAAGTTAGAATTATTAAATTGGTTGTGGTTTTATAAGAAATTAAAAATCTACACGTTTAATGGAATTTTTTTACCATTTTTGTTAAAATTGGACAGTTAGAATTGAAACAGATTGTCCTTTTTTTGGCACTGGAGATTAAATCCTGAGATGCTTTGCCACTGAGCTACATTCCCAGCCCTTTGTAATTTTTAAATTTTGAGACAGAGTCTCACTAAATTACTGAGGCTGGCCTCAAACTTGGAATCCTCCTGCTTCAACCTCCTGGGTTGCTGTAATTGCAGGCATGCACCATTTTTTCTGGCTTAATTAATGTTTTAAGAAAATATACCCATCTATCTAGGTTTATATTTTCTTACCATATAGGAGATGATTACCTGCTGTTAATAGAAATGTCAGTTGATGTTGAGCTTTATTATATTTTTCTGTTTTAAGATCTGTCATTATTTTCATTAATTATTTAATATAAATATTTCTAAAACATAACTAGAATGCTTTTAGAATGTTTTGGTTTTTTCAGATTTTACCAAATTAAGATTGAGTAACATGTTACATATCACAACATCCTTTCCTGAATTCAACTAAGTTAGGTTTTAGATGTGCTTGCAGTAAATTTCAGCTATCCTCTTGAACTGAGCAGTACCTAATCTGATTATGTCTAAGTAAGAAAAATAAAACTGTTTTGAACACCATAACTTTAAAAGATTATAAAATGTAATGATACTAGAAAACATTTCATAAGTCATTGGAATTATGTAGGACCAAGATGATTAGCCCCATGTTGACATTATTTTAGCCATGTTGATACTTGTGAAAATTTAGATTTATCTGAATATCGGAAGTGTCCATGATCTATAAACTCACAATTACAAATTTCTCCTGGTTATATCATTCCATGTCTGTCTAGAACAGAACCAGAGATCATCCCTTTCCTTTTTAAATTTATAGAATAAGATTTCAAAATCTGCTAGCAGAAATCTAGGAGCAGAAACAGGAAATAAAGAGTTGCATAAAGGATATAGTTATCATCCAGGGCTGTGCATCAGGATCTCTTGGGGACTTTTTAGATGACCTATAGTTATTTTAAATTTAGAGAAACTTTGCTAGAATTACACACAGAAACTGCATATCCTTTTTCTCAGATTCCTCAATTATAAATTGATTGCATTTGTCTTATCATTGCCCCCAGTAAACCGCCCCCCTCCTTCTGGACTAGGTATTGAACTCAGAGGTGCTTAACCACTGAACTACACCCCCACCCCCTTTTTATATTTTATTTAAAGATGGGGTGTTGGTGAGGCTGCCTTTGAATTCATGATTCTTCTGCTTCAGCCTCTCAAGCTACTGGGATTACAGGCATGCGTCACTGTGCCTGGCCAGTATACATTTTATTCATTCTATGAAAGTATGTCAGATTAGTGAACAAGCTGGAACATTTTATTACTTTTTTAAAAATATTTTTTTAGTTGTTGATGGACCTTTTTATTTATTTATTTATTTATTTAATTCATCTTTTATTTTTTTGGCTGGACCTTTATTTTATTTATTTATATGCAGTACTGAGAATTGAACCCAGTGCCTTACACATGCTAGGCAAGCACTCTACCACTGAGTTATAACTCTAGCCCAATCTGGAACATTTCTTGCCCTGTCTTTCATGCCCCATAAAATGGAGCACTTAAGGGCCCGGTATGGTGGCACACTCCTATAATCCCAGCAGCTCAGGAGGCTGAGGCAGGAGGATCATGAGTTCAAAGTCAGTCTCAGCAAAAGTGAGGTGCTAAGCAACTCAGTGAGACCCTGTCTCTAACTAAAATACAAAATAGAGCTGAGGACGTGGCTCAGTGGTCAGTGCCCCTGGTTTCAACCCCCTCTTCCCCAAAACCAAAAAGGTACCCCCCCAAATAAACAAACAACAACAAAACAACGGACCACTTAAGCAGCTTAATCTAAATTTGTCATATTTCCTCAAGATTTGATTCAGTTCTCATTCATTTTTATAGGAATATTACAACAACAATGCTGTGGGTCTTTTAATTCATGTGTCCCGTTAGTGATGAAGACAACATTTACTTTTTGGTTCAGTTGGTAATGTGACAGATTTCCACAGTAAAGCTAATTACTGTATACTTACTAGTAAATGTTTTGTGGCAGACACTTTGAGACTATATAAGTATCCTGGGGTGTTTGTTTGTTTGTTACTAGGGATTGAATCCAGCGCATTTTATCTCTGTGTTACATCCCCAGTCCTTTTTTATTTCTTATGTTGAGATAGGGTCTTGCTAAATTGCTGATGAGGCCTTGATTTTGCAGTCCTCCTGCCTTAGCCTCCTGAGTGACTGGAATTACAGGCATATGCTACTGCTCCAGGCAGTATCCTATTCTTTAGGAAGTTTTTACTCATGAGTTGATCAACCCTTAATGCTTCTTGCCTCAATTCCTATTTTTAATTATTTCATTTTACTCTATAATAAATCATTCTATATGTATTGACTCGTACAAGTGTAGGTGACATCTAATGTAAGGTAAACCTTCTGATATCCTACATTTTATTTTTATTGGTATGGACTCCTGGGTTTCCAGTTTGTTCAGTGGACTTTAGTTACTATTATTTATCTTAATGACCAAGATATCCCAGATTTATTCATTAAGGATGACCATTGAGTTGTCTTGTGTAACTTTTTGACACATCCCGTTATTGGTAGGGAACTTGGGTGTGAAATATTTAGCTTCATCTTGCACTTTCCTTGCAGCCTTGAATCAGCCATTCTCGAGCGAACATGGTTCCTTTTAGCTGAGATTAGCATTTTAGAAATCAAGATTGTTTATTGCTAACAAGATGATGATGATGTTCTTGGATCCTCTGAGTGGACAGAATTGAAAAATAGAGGTGTATGATCTCTTAGCTGTTATTGTTGTGCTTTGTTTTCTCCAGTAATGGAGATTGAACCCATTGGTGTTCTACCACTGAGGTACATGACAGCCCCTTTTTATTTTCTAGTTTTAGAAGGTCTCACAAAGTTGCCCATCTTGGCCTGAAACTTATGACCCTCCTGCTTTAGCCCCCTGAGGCTCTGGTATTACCATGCTTCTACCACTGGGCCCACCTCCCTGCTTCTTTTGATGTACTTCTTCTTACCATCTAAATATCCCACCATTTCACATTTTTCATCTTTCTGTATTTGTATTTAACTACTCTTTAACTGGGAGAAAACCTGCTTGTTGTTAATCTCAATATATTTATAGTCACTGGTATATAACCAGTTCTCTGATATATTACCTTAGCCTTAACCTTAACATCCTATCCAAGAATTTCTGGGTAGCATTCAGGAGTGTATATGTATATTCATGTCCAAGAAACTGATTTTAGTGCAGAAGGCTGACTTTATTAGCAACACTTTTTCTTTTTTTCATTTTACCACATGAGACTAATTAGTAAGCACTGGATTAGAGATTTCTATTAAATCTGAGCTCTCCTGGCTTATAAAAATGAATTGAGAGAAACAGATGACATTTTGGAATGGGTATGATTTTTCAGGGCAAGCGTGACATGGGTTGATTCTTGTAACTGATGTCTGGAAAGAAGTGCTATAAGAAGAGTACAAAGGAAAGTCAATGTTATTATGACATAATTTTCTTTAAATTAGAAAGTAGGTACTAGTTCTTTGTTACTTTTTGAGACAAGATCCTAGTAAATTGACTAGCCTGGAATTTGTCATCTTCCTGCCTCAGCCTCCCAGATTGTTGAGATATACCCGGATAATTTAGTATTTTGTTAAAAATTAGTTGATGGGGCTGTGTTCGTGGCTCAGTGGTGGAATGCTTGCCTTAGCCATGTGTGAGGCTCTGGCTTTGATTCTCAGCACCACGTGTAAATAAAATAAGTAAATAATTAAAGGTCCATCAACAACTAAGAAAAAAAATAGTTGATTTAAAAAAAATAGTTAAAATTTTGAGAAACAGAAAAATTTGTAATGTATTTTTGAATTTCCTGGAGAATAGACTCACATGTTCTTATTCTAGATTTGATGTCATTTTCTGTTGTCACTAATTTTCATTGGTAAAGCTACTATGATATATGACCATTAATAATGTGTGATTTTAGGGTTTGTTTGGAGTGTCAATTGAATACATGTGTATTTGATGCATCTAGCTTTTAAATGTGAGAAATAAATTTGTATATTCAGACAGTGTGACACTGTTTTCAAAGTACGTAAGTTTTTGATCAGTGTAATTATGTCTTAGCACCACAGAGATCTTCAGATTGGTCCAAAAAGAAGAAGGAGCCCCTAGGGAAATTGGCTTCTTTATTTAAACTTATTGTGAAAGTGATCTATTCTTTCCACACTCTGAGCTTCAAAGAAGTATATTCTGATACTCTACTTGCTATTGGCACCTCGATCACCAACATGCTTTCCAATGTTTTTGGACATATTTCTCTGCCATCTATGATCCGAAAAATATTTGCAACTTTAACAAGACCCTTGGCATTATTTTATGAAAACTCAAAGTAAGTATTTTGTGCTTAGTTGTTGAATTAAATTTGTGCAGTTAAAATATATGTAGCAACTTTTGTTGTTTTTACCAGTTTTGTTGTTATGGATGGTAATCTTTACAATTGACACAGGGTAATATATTAAAATATTTTGTTAAAAAGATATCTCAAATAGTATAGAACTTTGAGGTAGAATTGAAGTGCCCAAGAACCTGAAAAATTCCCCAATAAGCATACTTATAAAAACACTTTGAAAGAATTTCTTAATAATCTTGTAGCAAGCTTGGTTGTTCGGTGGTAATAGTTTGTCTTTTATAAATTTATGGAGGAAAAAAAATAGGTAACAGATTTTATGAAGTGCAGAGTCCAAACATTAAATTCATGAACTTATTACCTCTTCAAATTATTTGCGTCTTTGCTGTATTAAAAATAGTTTGTTTTAAAAATATTCAGAAACAGGAAGCTAGTACAAACACTTTGAGGTCTACTGTGTTTTCAATGATTCGTTTTTTTAAAGATGAGATTTTCCCATGTTAAATCAAGTTTGGCATTTTTTTTCCCCTTGTTAAGACTTAGGAACAGTGTTTTACGTCATTACATGTACACATTTGTTTTTATCACTATGGTAACCTCATTTTCAGGTTTAAATTGATAGATAACATAGTGTCATATTTCTAAAATATAAATGGTCCTCTATTATGTGTTTTTCCATTCTAGGCTTGATGAAGTTCCAAAAGTGTACAGTTGTCTGAACAACAAGGTAACAATAAAAAATTGTTCATAAAACATAAATGTTCATAATGAGAAAATAGAGTTTAGATGTTTGTCTACATTATATATAATTTTGCATATTTTTAATGGACATTTAATATTATGAAATAATATGACACATTCATAAGTAGATTTTCTTTTTTAAAAGATGGTGTTAATAAGCTAGCTTAAAATCATAGAATTCGTGATGTCATCTCTTTATATATGTGCTCAGTTGGGCTTAAAATTTTGTAGGTGAAGAGTATTTTGACAGTTATTAATTCTTGTTAAATTGATATAAACACATTGTTTTCCCCTGTCAATGGGAAATACACTCAAAATCAAGTTGGTTTATTGATAAAATTGCCAGATATTTTGTCAGCATATAAAGAGATTTACAGTGATCAGGGGGCCTTGTTTAAAATTATTGAAATTTAAAAAATTGAAATAGCAACATGTTTTGCAAGTTAATATTTAGAATGCTTTTTGCTCTTATTTTTTTCCTTTTTCCTAGTTAGAAAAGCTCTTAGGAGAAATTACTGCTTGCCTACAGTATAGCTACACTGGAATTTATGACAGTGAACTTCTTGAACTGCTTTCTCCACTGTTCTGTATAATATTTTTGCACAAGAATAAACAGATTCGAAAACAAAGTGCTCAGTTCTGGAATGCCACATTTGCTAAAGTGACCATGTTGACTTACCCTGAGGAATTAAAGTATGCAATAACACATTTTTATTCCTTATATATTCTGTTATGATAATATGAATGGGATTTTTGGTATTAAGATAATCTTAATATGGGGAATCATTGCATAAGATTTTATACTTATTATTTGGATTGCTTGGTAATTACTAAACATTCTTTAACATTTTTGTTGGGTCTTACAGTAAATTTGATTTTAGGAACCAATGAAAAGAATTTTAAATTATCCTAAAAAGAAGGGCAAGATAATGATGATTTTTAAAGTTACTTGAGTGCTTAATGTCATATTTTACTTCTGTTTGAATTTATCCATGATGAATATTTTGGAAATTTTGACAAAAGGTTTAGAGGTGAAAATTTGGAGATTCTTTTGAAAAGTACAGATTTCTCCCATTTTTATACATGTGTAGAACAATCTTTTAAGATTTTAGCCAATTTTCATTTACTGTTTAAAAATTACTTTTAAGCTTTTAGCCAAATTTCATTTACTGTTTAAAAAGTACTTGTAATTGATGTACTCTAGCCTGATGTTGTGGGTCATACCTGCTATTTCAGCTAACAGGTAGGCTAAGTCAGGAGGTGTGCAAGTTCAAGGCCAGTCTAGGAAACTTACCAATCCCTTCTCTGTGTCAAAATAAAAACAAAATGGGCTAGGGTTGTGGCTCAGTGGTAGACTACCCCTGAGTTCAGTTCCTAGTACTGTCAGAGAGAAAGTGTATATGTGTACACACATAAACAAGTGTATGTATTTGACAGTGCTTGTTAACATCACTACTATGCACCAGTACATTTGACTCAATGTATATATATTTGTGTACTTTTTTAAAGACCTGTACTAAGACAAGCCAAACAGACACTTTTACTTCTCTTGCCTGGTTTGGAAAGTGTTGAAATCATGGAGGAATCCAGTGGACCATATTCAGAAGTAGTGAGTTGTTGTTTTTGTCATTTTGTTTTTAAAGTTTTGATGTTTAAATGATTTGTTTATCGTAAGTGATAAATAAGTAGAACCTGGACAAGAGTTCCCTAACATGATTTTTTTTTTCATATGTATATATAGAGTTGTCTGGCCTGAAATACGAGTATAAATTAAGTGCAAAAGTTTTCTCTCGAGAAATACTCATGTAAATTACACTCAACTCATGTACCTTATATGTAGTCTTTACAAGCATCATAACTGTTAAAACACATCAGTGGAATTATTTTGGAAAAAGTAGAAATGAACTTACTAAAGTCTTTATACCTAAGCAAGAACTGTTCTTCTAGATTTCATTTCTTTGTATTAAATTCATCACTACTTCTATCAGAAAAAAATAAATCTTTACTATTACATCACCCTTAGGACCAAGGTCACTTTGACTGATACTTGATTACCATCTAAAGATCTAGGAGTTCAGAGGCATAAAGGCATGGATGGATGCTGTATTCTTAGGAAGTTGAACATCCTTAGAAAGTATTTTTCTGTTTAGCAACAGATCTTATACAGCTATTGGTTTGTGTGCTTAGAATCAGTAAGGAAAAAAAATATCAGTAACTATAGTTACTGATGTTTTGCTTTTGGAATAAAAAAAAATTCTCACCAATAAAGACTTTGTTGCTCAGTGTAATTTAGTCTGCTAAAGCCATACATTCAGGTATAAGAGAAAATGTTCTTCCTGCATTAATATTCTCTAAACTGTGTGCTTTATTAATCTTCTTTATTCTTTAATGTTGAAAGTTTTGTGGGCTTTTTTTTGTGTGTGTATTTTCAGTAATGGGTACAGTGTTTGAGTCTAGCAATTTGATTTATATTGCAATATTTATGTGGTATGTCTTATTTTCAAATTTCATGAAATTAAAATGGTATAAAACAGTATTGGAAAATTTAGACAATCTATTTACTGTCTTTTGACAGTGTTTAAATTTAAAATAAGTTATCATTAGTATGTGATTATTAGATGTGAAAAGAAATGAAAGTAGTAGAGTTGTCCTTAATGAAATTGTTTTTATTTTTAATAAAACAGATGGAAAACTCACAATTAAATGTGAAGATAAGTGGTATAGAAAGAAAATCAAGTGGAAAAAGAGATTCCTTTTTGACACAAACAAAGGATAAGAAAGAAAATGTGAAACCATCAGTCAAAGTATGTTTTCAACATTGTATTTAATAGAATTTTTAAAATAAAGCTTATAATAGCTTTTTATTTCAAAACTTCTCATTGCAAGGAAAAGTTATAAATGGCTTAACAAATATGGGATGGTGAGGATTGGTAGAGTTCTTCTACAAAGAGTAATAGCATAGTATGAAAATCTGGAAGAGGAAGGTGATGACTCCTTCTCAGTAAGGGTAGATCTGTGTAATGCTTAGCCTCATGATAATACTTATATGTAATTTATCATATGTAATTTATTCCCAGCAGTAGCCTCCATAAGATAAGATGACTCTAGGTCCCAGTGACTAAAATAGGTAGTGTAAGAGAACATTTTAGAATTGTTGTTATTATAGTACTTAATTTGGAATAGATTACATTCTTGTAGATGCTAAAAATAGAATGATACAATGTTATCTTTACAAATTTTCAAAGTTATTAGTGTGTAAGACATACTATATTGGCAGCCTTACTTAATTTCACTAGTTCATTGTTACAGCTTGGAAGTGATACATATACTCTTCGCCAGTTGATTTCTATATTTGATTTCTATGTTTGCCCGAAAAACACATCTTAAGGTGTACAGGTTTGCCTCCTTTTAAAGGGCTTAATTTTATTTTCTCAGCATTTATTAGAAGTAGAAAAATAGTGAAGAACATTATTACTAATTTGTTATTTTGAATATCATATGGACTGTACATCAGACTTAGAACTTTGAAAAACCTTTATCAGTATTAGAAGGAACTGGAAGTCATTTGAAAATGATGTTGGAACTGAAAATGTACATTTACTTTTTTAAAATCTGCAGCTAAAATTAGAATCTTCATCTCCAAAAGTAAAGAGTGAAATGCTGTTGGAAGAGGAAAAGTCAGAAGATTTTGTGTTTATTCCTCCAGAAGAAAAAGAAGCAAAGGAAAGAATATTAACTGAACATCAAAAAGAAGTACTCAAAACAAAACGGTTTGTAGGCCTTTTGTTTTGAATTGGACATTTATTTTGTAAAGTATTTATTCATGTATCTTTAGTTTTAGGTGGACACATTGTTTTGTTTTTATATGTTGCTGAGAATCAAACCCAGTGCCTCATGCATGCTAAGCGACCACTATACCACTGAGCCACAACCAAAGCCCTGGACATCCATTATTTATGCTTAGATTTCATGTAGGAAATTACAGATTTGTTGTTGCATAATGTGTTTGGTAAAGTGATTGGTTTTGTTGGTTTGGGATTAAACCTAAGGCCCCACATGTTAGACCAGCCAACTACCACTGACCCTTTGAATTGTAAGTTTTAATGGGAGAAATTACACTTTACTGTATTTTATAATATATAAAGTGGCCTAGTAATGTGCCACATATTGCCAAATGGAATTCCTTTGTTGAGGTAGGTTGTATAGGAAGATAAGTTCATGAGAAATCTGGAAAGTAACCATATAGATCTTGATTGTGTAACATTCATAAAAGATAATTTGGTAGATTGCAATTAATTTCTAATTGTAAGAATAATATCAGATTTGTAAAGTTACAAATAAAATATTTTTCAGGTGTGATATTCCTGCCATGTATAATAATCTGGATGTTTCACAAGATACCTTATTTTCTAGTCATTATAGTCAGGAAGAGTCTGTGTAAGTATGAAAGCTTTTGGACTTGTAACAATTTCTCCTAATTTTTTTTTAAGTACAATTTAATTTCCATAATTCTTTATTTCAGGGAAACACCTAATTCAAGTGAAAAACCAATGGAAGATTCTGAAATGATAATTAAGGTATATTCAATGTTTTATATTTTAGGGTTTTTAGAATCACCTATTAGGAATAAATTGCAGACTGGGGGCTGTTCTTCATTTTATTAATTTTAAGGTTTATTTTAGAATCATACACTAACAGAATTATAGTCATATGTGTGTATTTAAATGTGTTTGGCTTTTATTGAATAAAATGAGGAGCACATTAATGGGCATCTTCTATTACTTTTGGAGTATTTGCATTTTGTTGAAAGTTAGTGGTCATCTCGGTATTACTGAAGTTTTGCACTTAAATTTTCCTTGGAAGTGAAACTTGTTTGCAGATTTAATCTGTATATATATTTCTGTACAGGAAAAGCAAATGCAGCATGACAGTGTTATTCCTCAAGATACCAAGGAAAACTGTGGTATGAATGAACATCTTGAAAAGGCTTCTGTTTCAAATAATGGATGTAGTTCTGTTGAGGAAACCAATCCAGAAGTATTAATGACCAGTAGTAATGATGTCAGAAAAATCACCTTAACTTCATCAAAGAAAGCTTCAACTGAATGTATACCTAATGCAGAAAGTTCATTTGTTGTCAACAGCTCAGTTTCTAATTCCTCTATTTCTGGAACTCCCCCACAGCCTACAAGTCGAAGGCAAACCTTTATTACGTTAGAAAAGTTTGATGGTTCAGAAAATAGACCTTTCAGCCCGTCCCCCTTGAATAGTATATCATCAGTTGTTACAGTGAAAAATAACCAGGAAAACATGACTAAAACAGATACTACTTTAAAAACAAAGAAAAGAGAAGTGACTCGATCAAAATCTGATTCAGAGAAAGTGGTGAATGGAGTTAAGAGATCAAGCCGGAGATCTAGTAAAGCTGAGCAGTCTGGAAATAAAAAGTCTAAGCCCTTAATGAAATCTGAAGAAGAGAAAAATACTCAGGAATCTACCGAAGACATGATAGCCTTAGAAAATAACCCACCTGGTTTTCTTAATCAAACAGAATGTGTGCAGAATAATCAGGATCATCTTTCTGAACCTACAGTGGAGTATGAAGACACAAAGCCTAAATCAACAATAGAAAATGATGTAGTGTTGGAAAATAATACTGTGGAAGAGAAAAATGGAGAGGTTAATTTTGAATCCAAAGAAAATACACCCCCAGTCATAATACCAGCAGATCAAATGGGAAATGAAGAGAATCAGGTTCAGATAACTTCAAACCAAAAAACCCTTAGACGATCTTCAAGGCGACGTTCAGAAATAATAGAGTCAACCACTGATAGCCAAGATAAAGAAAATAGTCACCAAAAAAAGGAAAGACGTAAGGAAGAAGAAAAATCTCTTCAAAAGAGTCCATTGCATGTAAAAGATGATGTGTTACCTAGGCAAAAACTGACTTCTGAACATGCAGTACAGGAAAATTTAGTTGAGAAAGGAAATAATTTACATGAGAAAACTTTGGGGGAAACCAGTGCTAATGCTGAAATTGACCAAAATAAAAGTAAACCAGACCTTGAGAATATTAGTTCTGAAGCAGATAGTGCCCAGGACATTGCTGATAAGTCTTCTGAGAAACCTTTAAGAGGACGAACGCGTTATCAAACAAGAAGAGCATCTCAGGGTTTGCTTTTCAGCATTGAGAACTCAGAATCTGATAGTTTTGAGGCAAAAGAAGAAGGATCAAGGAAGAAGAGATCTGGAAAGTGGAAAAACAAAAGTAATGATAGTGTTGACATGGAAGAACAAGAAGAAAAAATGGTACAAGAGTGTATAAAAGTTGAAAATCAGACGCCTGAGTCTAAAGCAATTTCTGAAGTAGATATGAAATCTCAGATTTGTGAAACAGGTGAAAGTACTGTGGTAATACCTCAGGAATCTAAAATATCTTCAGATTTGTTGCAAGCTTCTGATGATGTACCAAATACACATGAAGGAAAAAGTAAGACTAGCAAAAGCACAGAAAATTCCTTTACATGGCCACCTGTGCCAGAATCAAATCTAAGGACTAGAAATGCCAATAAAAGGTTACATAAGGGAGATTCTGATAGTGTGGGAGAGTGTTCAAAAGTGGGGCCATCAAGCGTTGCTTTGCTTTCTGGAAAAAGTATTCAAATTGTTGAATGCCAGCACAAGAGAAGTAGGAGGGTCAGGCGATCTAAAGGTTGTGACTGCTGTAGGGAAAAATCAGAGCCCCAGGAAAATTCATTTATTGGGTTAAGGAACATAGAAAATGATGATGAAAAGAATAGTGAAACAAAAGCAGATGTGCAGACACCTGGAACTGTATCAAAAAGTTGTGATGCTAATCTGCATTCTGAAGTAAAAATTTTAGATGAACATCCTAGTGTGAATTTTGATTTGGGTCTCAAGGAGGAGAACGATACTATAAATGATTTAGTAATTGTACCTGAAACTGAATTGAAAGAAAATACTATTGAAAAATCTGTTCCTCCTGAAATAGTAACTTTTAAGGAGGGTACTTGTGATATGGATTCTGGTGTAGCAACGTGTCTTGAAAATGAGGAGCCATCTAACATATTAAAAGTTGTGGGCCCATGTGCATGTGATTCCATGGACATTTCACAGAAATGTTCTCCTTTGGACACTAAAAAAAGGAAACGAGAGTTTTCTCCAGAAGAAGTTAACATTGTTAATGTTGAAGGAAATGCATGTAAAGCAACAGTGGGATCAAATCTGGAAGAAGTAGAAGCTATGGAATTGGATATAAAAAGTGATAAATCTGAAACTAGCTTAGAAAAAGATAAATCTGAAGCTAACTTGGTTGAGAAAAAGAGTGCCAAAATAGATATTTCTGAAGAAACGGTAGCAGAGGGAAATACTAAAAGTGGCATACCTGAAGCAGATAAAGCTGAAGAAGTCAATGCTGAAGAATTGAATGCTGAAGCAGCTGCAGCACAGGAATATAACTCAGGTACTGGTCTTTCTGATAAAACCACACCTATAAATGTGAATCCTCAGACGGAGATTTCTGAACAAAAAGCAAACGGGAAATTGGGTGGAGGAAGTAATGAATCTGATCTAGGCTCACTTGGAGAAATCAATTCTGAAATTGAAAATTATGAAAAAACAGTGATTGAGCAGGTGAATTCTGAAACTGACAGTGTCGAGGAAACAAAGGACAGGGACAGGACTACCAAAACCTCTAAGCCAGAAGAAGCTCAAACAGAAAGATTGAATGTAGAAACTGACAACTTTATTCCTGACACACTTGAAATGAACACTGAAGAAGGAAAGATTGAATGTAATAAAACTGAAACTAATATTGAACTTATTAAATCTGAAGAAATGAAATTAGATGACAATCAAGTGGTAGTAGGAAATGATACTTTACAGGAAGTTCATCATACTTCAGAGACAATGGAGGAAACATTACAGTCTTCGTCATCTGAAACAGCTATCTCTGAACTGGTAACAGAAGATAATAATGCATCTCCTCAAAAATTAAGGGAGCTTGATCCTTTACTTTTGTCTGCAAACGACAGTCCTAGTGGTATGCAAACACGATGTGTCTGGTCCCCATTGGCTTCTCCATCTACCAGCATTTTAAAGAGAGGACTGAAAAGACCCCAAGAAGATGAGATCTCCTCACCTGTTAATAAGGTAGGAGGAATGAGGTTGAATATAAAAGAGGTCTAATATTTGGTTGAAACTTTGGGCCATACTGTGTCATATGGTGAATGACAGATACTAGGATTATATGACCACTTCTTTATTTGTCATGAATGCTAGGGAAAGAGCAGGTAGAACAAAAGGAGATCAAAACTTTCAGGATGTTCCTTCATCTCACAACACTAAAGATCTTTATGCAGCTCTGTACATTGTTCACCTTTAGCAAAATTGGTAAGACCTCTTCTTAGGGTCTTTTCTGCGCTGCATACCATAACACATGAGGAACTCGGGTGACATTGATAATACAGGTTTAGCACTTAATGTTTTCTGGGACATAATGTCTCTTTTACTTGAGTTTTTATATAGCTCCTTAGATGATGATTTAGAAAGTTACTTGGGCTTCCTTTATCAATTTTATGAATCCCCACCCCTACTCCTGGAGTGCTAGGGATTGAGTCCAGGGTTTCACACATGATAAGCATGTGCTCTATCACAGAGCTACACCCACAGATCCTCTCTCATTATTTTCTTATTTATATTGCCATCTCCTGCACTAAGCCATACCTTGTTTGGTTCAGAAAAAAAAAAAAAATTGGATTCTGGGTGTCTAGATTATACCCTTTTCTTTTCACAGTTTATTGAATGAATGAATTTTAAGAAAGAGGAAGTGAGGTGTGCCTACATAGACCAATTTCCTCTATGTAACTAAGTAGATGTTCTGAAAAGGTGTTGACATTCTGCAACTTTATTTTGAAATTGAATCTGCTATTGTCAGATGTACTTATAGATATGTGAATGTATACCAAAAAAGATACTTTGATTTTTTTTTTTTTTTTCCCCTTCAGCAAGCACTTTTGGGTGGTGGTGGGGGGTGATGTGCGTGTGTGCATGCGCGTGCACCCACTTGCTTAGGGATTTGAACCCAGGACTTCATACATGCCAGGCAAGCACTTTACCAGTGAGTCACATAGCCAGCCCAAGCAAGCACATTTTAAAAACTTTCCTTCTTAATCTCTGTGAGTAGTTTTCAGCTTTCTAAAATATATTGAAAATTTTGCTGAGAATTGAGAGATTAATCCATTTAAGAAAACTTAACAGCTGTTGAGATTTTTTTTTCCCTCTTTAGATGCTAAGGCTATTAGTTTTTGTTTCTTTTTAATATCTTAAGTTTAATAGGCCATTGACATGCTTGAAAACTTTGTGAAGATAAAATGCATTGGAAATAACATGTCAGTGTTCTTTAAATTGCCTATACAACTTAATAGTTTCTTTTCTTTTCCTTCCCACTCCTTGCATAAGTAGGGAGGGAGGGAGATAGGGTCTCTGTAAGTTGCCAAGGCTGACCTTGAGCTTGAATTCTTTGCCCAGCTTTCTGTGTTGCTGGGATTATAGGCATGTGCCATCATACTTAGTCATGGCTTAACTAGTTGTGGTTTTGATAGAAGTTCATATTTAATACTTATTTAGGCAACAGAGATAGTGCTTGCATATATGTACATACGTGTGTGTATGTGTGTATTTTTTTTCTTTTTGCAGTTCTAGGAATTGAATCGGACCTCATTCAGGCTAGGCAAGTGCTTATGCACTGATCCAAATCCCTAACACAACATGCTGTATTTTCTGTGACAGATTTATAGAACATGCATCTTGTATTCTTGGAAATCAAGAATAGAAAACATGTAATAATATCTTAACGGTTATCAGAGTTCTCTATTGTATACTTATCAATTAGTTTAATATATTATTTATATAATATATAATTTATACATAGAAGAGACTAAGTTTTCCTCAAGCTGGCCTAAGGTTAAGATTGCTACCTAATTGAAATTATAGTAGTGGTTAACAGTTTACACCAAAAGTCCATTATGTATTTTATTTCCTCTTTACCTTTTTTCTCCAGTCTGTTTATGAAGTTATTAGAATCATATTGTATAGCTTCATTGTCACCAAATTCATTGTTTCTATTACTATCCTAGTTTCACAACCTAAACTATGCAGCTTTAGAACATAGATAATTAGAATCCATTTTGCTATTTATCTGTAAAAGTAGTCACTAAGATGAACAGTTATATGTTGTAGACTTCCAAACCCACATGCTACTTTTGGATAACCTCTTGATGAGAATTTATGGTGTCATCTTTAAAGACTTTAAAGACTAAAGACTTTAGTTTTGTTAAATATTAAAATCTGACCTGTGTTTTCAGGTTCGACGTGTCTCATTTGCAGATCCAATATACCAAGCAGGATTGGCAGATGACATTGATAGGCGATGTTCCATTGTTAGGTCCCATTCTTCAAGTAGTTCTCCCATAATGAAAAATGTTAAAACATCACCTACTGCACAATCTAAGGTAAGCAACAGGTGTTACAGTATGCACATATCTATATGTGCTTAGAATTATATGTGTATAGTTTGTTTTAAGGTTATTTATGAAATAAAACTTTGTTGGTTTGGTTCTTTGTGTGCTTCATGGTAAGTAGACCTGAAAAGGTAGTAAGAGGCAATGATCATTCAGCAAGTAATTGATTAACTAGCAGTTCATTTTCTTTTCTGTTTCTGATATTTTAAAATAGTGATTACAGTCTAAGATTAAGATTAAAATTGTAGTTGTCTAGGGTCTAAGTGAGTCTTTTTTTTCTCTCCTTTTGTCTAGCATAATACCACTTCAGCTAAAGGATTTCTGTCCCCAGGATCACGTAGCTCTAAATTTAAGAGCTCAAAGAAGTGTTTAGTAAGAAGTGCTTTAGTTTTCATGTAACTTTTTATATTTTTGTGTTTAGTCAAGTGATCTCTATTTAATAGCTTTTGAAATTTATTTTAAGATAACAGAAATGGCCAAAGAATCCATTCCATGCCCAACAGAAAGTGTTTACCCAGCTTTGGTGAACTGTGCAGCACCAGTTGACATTATTTTGCCTCAGATAACATCAAATATGTGGTAAGTGGTTACTTAGGCTTTGGGGTTATATTCCAAGATGCCACTTCAGTAACAGGAATATTTGAATGGTAAAGGTTCTCCCAGTTAGAATTTATTAGCATGTATCCCTTTCATATATTTTATTTCAGGAATAAATAAAAATGTAGATTGAATGATAGGCTGTAGGGCAATAATAAAAGCATTTATGCTAATAAAATTAATGTTTGTGAATAATTTGTTAAGATATTGTGTAGAAACTTTTTATATACATTATCTTAATTTACCGTTACTACCAATTCCTTAAGGAATATATACTTTTTTGTGGTACTTGGGGCCAAACCCAGGGGTGCTGTAATACCAAGCTACACCCCAGCACCTTTTTTTTTTTTTTTTTTTTTTAAAGAGAGAGAGGTGTTTTTTAATATTTATTTTTTAGTTTTTGGCGGACACAACATCTTTGTTTGTATGTACTGCTGAGGATCGAACCCGGGCTGCACGCATGCCAGGCAAGCGCGCTACTGCTTGAGCCACATCCCCAGCCCTCACCCCAGCACTTTTAAAGTTTTATTGTGAAACAAGGTCTTTCTAAGTTGCGCAAGAAGGCCTCAAACATGGCAATCCTCTTGCCTTAGCTTCCTCAGTAGCTGAGGTTAGAGGTATGTTCCACTGCTCTTGGTGTATGAATATCATTTCTGTTTTATAAAATAAAATTTACAAAGATTAATCCACTAAGATTGCCCTGATAGTAAGTCATTATGTGAAGCTTGAGGTTCACGTAGAAAACCTTGATTTGGGGGGCTGGGGTCATAGCTCATTGGTAGAGTGCTTGCCCAGCATGTGTGAGGCCCTGGGTTTGATTCTCAGCACCACATATAAAAAAAATAAAGGTGATTGACCACTAAAAAAAAAAAAAAATTAAAAAAAGAAAGAGGGGCTGGGGATGTGGCTCAAGCGGTAGCGCGCTCACCTGGCATGCGTGCAGCCCGGGGTTCGATCCTCAGCACCACATACAAACAAAGATGTTGTGTCTGCCGAAAACTAAAAAATAAAATATTAAAAAATTCTCTCTCTCTCTCTCTCTCTTTCTCTTTAAAAAAAAATAAATAAAACTAAAAAACTTAAAAAAAAAAAAAAAAAAAACCTATATTTTTGGTGGGTATTTTCTTAAAAAAAAAAAAATTAACCTAAGAGTTTTTAATTAAAATTTTCCTGATTGTTAGTCTTGGAAACTTAAATTATTTTTGAGTAGAAAATTCTAGATTACTGTATTTTAAGATAGTTGGTGAGATCTTTTGCTAATTTCTCTTTTGCCCTATCATTTGACAATAGGACATGAGGTATTCCTAAACTCCTCCAAGGAGTTGTGGTTCAGACAAATACTGAGTCCATTTCTGATTATAGAAGTTGGAGAGAGAGGGCACATTAAAACAAAAGGAGTAATTTAAAGTCAGTTATGGTTGAGTTTAAATGGAGAAATTAAACCGAATAAGCCCTTACTAGTAGTATATACGGACAACTGATTCTCCTTTTTCTCTCATCTTTTCAGGGCAAGAGGCCTAGGACAACTTATCAGAGCCAAGAATATAAAAACAATTGGCGATCTGAGTTCTCTTACAGCATCTGAAATAAAAACTCTTCCTATCCGGTCTCCCAAAGTTTCTAACGTAAAAAAGGCTCTTAGAGTGTATCATGAACAGCAGGTAAAAACTCAGGTGGTACTTAAAATTATGTATTAATCAGTGACCCAATAGCATAGTTGTAGAAGTTCATATTTAAACTCCTTTTGCTTAAAATCCCGTTTTATGGTCCCTTTATCCCCTCTAAAGACAAGGTCTTGCTGAATTGCTTTAGGACCTCACTGAGATGCTAAGGCTGGCTTTGAACTCGTCATCCTCCTGCCTCAGCCTCCCAAGCTGCTGGGATTACATGGGTGCACCACTGCGCCAGGCTATACTGTTTTTATTTAATGCACCTCAGATTTCTTTTAAAATTATCTTTTCTGCTTTGAATTCTGTCCTCGTATCCCTTTATGATTTTTACCAGATGGTGATGGATTTCATTGCTGCTTTTCTAAAGCCTATATACTGAAATCTAAACATTTATGGAAAGCTTTACAACTTTCTAGGTCATAAAACTTTTGATTTTGATGTCTAACACATTTTTACTTATTTGTGTTTTTCCTTCCAGCATTTTACATGTGCACACACATACGTGTGTGTATATACACACAATATACATACATACAGAGTCAAGGACAATTTTCATATTCTGATGAAAACTGATTCTTTCCCCTAATAAAGACTTATACAGAAAATTTTGTGCATAATTTCAGGGTTCACAGAATTGGTTGAAACTTAGACTTTCTATCTGTTAATGTTACTAGACACTGCAAATAAATGATATACTAAAGGTAAAAATATGAAGACTTCTGCTATAAAGTCCTTGATTTTTTTTTAATTGTGATGTTTAAAACATCTTTTGACTTGTGACTTAAAAACAAAACCAGAAAGTAGTAATTTTCAGTCTAATAGATTGAATTTCTGAAATTCACTTACCATAGCAATCTACTGTGTGATTTTTTTTTTTTCCCTCTTTTTTTTTTTTTAAACTATGTTCATAGTTACACCACTATCCCCATAAACTAATTTTGGAACATTTTTGTTGGTGGTTTTAAACCCTGTAAGAAAAAAATTCTGAATTTCTTAGTTGTCACTTTTATCACTTGTCTGTAGATAACCACTTATTTACTTCTCTATAGATTTTATTTTGGACATTTTTGTAAGTGAGGCTACCACCTTTATTTCCTAACTTATTTCACTTACCATATCATTTCCAGGTTTCTTTGCTATAGAATATGCCAAAATTTCCTTCCTTTTTCAAGGCAAGATAATGATCCATAGTATAGATATACCACATTGTTTAGCCTTTCCTCTGTTGATGGACATCTGGGGTTGTTTTCACCTTTTACTATTATGAACAGTGCTTCTGGGTACATTCATAAAATTTTTGTATGGGCTTTGTTTTCATTTCTCTTGGAGATATATATAAAAATTTGGAATTGCTAAGTTATAAGATAACTCTTTTTGAAAGTAGTATTTTTTTTTAAAGTTAATGTATGATTGACTATGGAACATAATGTTTCATGTAATGTATTTTTCCCAATATTTGTACCATTATTGCTATGAAAAGTAACTTCTGATTTTTGTTTTTTACTGCTCTGTATAATCAAGGTAAAATCTCGTGGATTAGAAGAGATTCCAATTTTTGATATTACTGAAAAAGCAGTAAATGGAATAGAAAATAAGTCTCTCTCAACTGATGAAGAACGACTTGCCTCAGGTATATGTTAGCATAGTGTGACAATTTTATGTAGAACACAAGCTGATTTTCTTGAATAAATATTTTGTTATGCTTTTAGTTTTAATTTAATTATGCCTTATTCAACAAGTTTTTTGTTTTTTATTTTTTTCCTTGATGCCAAGTACATGAAAAACTTCTTGGATTTCAGGTGTTTTTTTCTTAATTGTCAACATTTAGTCCTTAAGATCTCCAGTAAGGATATAGAATATATATTCTGTTAACAGTTATGATAATAACTTTACTAGCACAGAATAATATGTCATAGTAGATTTTTGTGTCGGTCTTATTCCTTTGAGAAGAGGGACCCCTCATTCTACTTTCTCAAATTAAATCCTACAAACTTATTATATTTGATAGGGAATATGTACATGCACACATACATTTAATTTTTTAACTGGTATACATTTAATGTGTTCTTTTTTCTGTTTCTTTTAGATTTACTTGATCCTGTTCCCTTTGAAACTCCATTATCTAAAAATCTTGTTGCACAGATTAGTGCTCTTGCTCTTCAACTGGATGCAGAAGATCTCCACAGTTATTCAGGAAGCCAGCTATTTGAAATGCATGAGAAACTTGGTACTATGGCAAACTCTATAATAAAAAATCTGCAGTCACGATGGAGATCAACAGCCCATGAAAATTCCATTTAGTGTTTTAAGATAAATTGAATTTTTTAAAACATCCCCAGATTTCTTGATTGGTATATTTCAGACTTGTTTTATCAATCAGTTTAAAAGGGGAGACCTCAAGGTTGATAACATTTCAAACCTGTGAAGGGCAGTGACTTAATAAGTTCAGTTTTGTAAGATCATTAAGTAAGATCTTTTTTCCCCATTGTTACTTGGCTGCTATAGTTTTTCAAGAAATTTTAAATACCGTATTTAGATTTGAAAGCAAAAGCAGAAACAAGCATTCATTTTATTTCATATTTTTAAACTCCATGCATATTTTGGTTAAACATGTAATGCAAAATACTTTAATGTTGAAAATTTTTATTTGATTTTTGCTAAACTGATAAAGGCATTTATAGTTTGTTTGTTTAATTGTTCATATATATATTGTGCCTGAGGTTCAGGAAATTTGTTTTTTGTAAAAGGCCTCAAATGGGATGTAAAAAAAACTGGGACCTTTTCCCCACAAATGTCACCTTTGGACAATTTCGGGAAAAATACCAAAAGTTTTAATTTCTTGAGGTAGAAATATTATTGTAGAATTTCTCAGATTCCCTTCATTTGAATTAGCAAGTATTTGTGCAGCAGCCTGTGAAAATTTATTAGACATAGTATTCCTTTCTAAATGCATGACTGTTTGTACATTATGTGTAGATGACTTTTTAATTTATAAATTTCAGCCTTCATTAATTGCATGATTTTTTTTGCAGCTTCTTGTGAATACCTTGGTTTTCCTTACTAGAAACATTTTGTATATATTTAATATTGAAATATCTGTGTGGACAGAAGAAGTGCTTCATGTGTTTGCTGCAGATATTTGTAGGCTTATGTATCTGCATATAAAACAACAATTAGTTTTATATTTAATTAATAGTTAAAACATGAGCTTAGCCAGGCCCAATGGCACACACCTGTAATCCCAATGACTTCAGAGGCTTAGACAGAAGGGTTACAAGTTTAAGGTCAGCCTGGCCAACTTAGTGAGACCCTATCTCAAAATAATACAATAAAGAATGGCTGGGGGTGCAGCTCAGTGGTAGAGGGCTTGCCTAGCATGCACAGGTACTGGGTTCAATCCCCAGTACCACTTTTTTAAAAAAATATATATTTTTTCTAAAGTATTCTAAATGAGAAAATGTTACAGGATAGCTTTGAAATTCATGCCCTTAGCTTTTTTTTTTTTTTTTTTTTTCTTTTGGTTTGGAAGCGAATACCAGCCACTAGAAAGCGTGCCTCATTACATTTCTTCTTAATGGAGAGTTAGAATGAATATTTTCATTGCAAGTTGGACTATAAGAAGTCTAGAGATTATCTGCTTTATTCATCTTTAACTAAAATTAAACTTGGAAGAAATTTGAAACTGTTTTTATACGTGTATCTTTTGCCTATTTTTTTATAAAGGGGGTGTGTATAATTATTTGTAAATTTTTACCAACTAGTGTTAGCACCTGACTTCCCATATTTGTTTTGTCTTTTTAATTGAGCATGTACCTCACTTACTCTCAATATATCAGTGAGTTTCACACTTGATTCAGAACCTAGTCCCTACTTGAAAAGGCATGTTTCTGCAGTAAGTCATAGAAAGTTTAATCCTTGCATCTATTTACGTCAGGTCTCCTTTTTTCAACAGGGAACTTCATCCAACTTCTATGAAAGTTTTTTTTTCTATAATCATAAATATAGATATTTTTGGATCTAAATACGATATATACACCAGCGATGGTTTTACAAAGAAATTCTTTTGATTTTTGAACTAAGGTTTGTAGCTTGGAGAAAACTAAGGGAAAAAAATAAATGAGTTTTTAGTGAAAAGTTGTGAATAAAAAGGTGTGTGTGTATGTTTGGGGTAAGTGTTAACAGTAGACATAGACATGAGTCAAAATTAGCTCATTTTATGACTGCATATCTTAACATTTGAATGAACTAAATTAATTTGTTGGTGGAATGAAGTCCTTAGGAAGCTGAATAGTAAAGCAGAAAATATAACCAAAATGATTACCATTTATTAAATTATTTGATTTGATAGAAGCACAGGTATTAGTTAAAACAAATTATGGTTCAGTGATATGTTTAAAAATACTATTTTGAGGGAAAAGGCCAGCTTGTTATGTATCTTTTTTCTTGGTATGGTTATAAGCATACATTTTAATCACCTTTCAGTATTCTTGCCTGAAAACTTTCTACTGATTTTCCCTGAATGATTCCTGATATTGCCAAAAAAAAAAAAAAAAAAAAAAACAGAAAGAAAAAGAAAAAATTTTTTGATCAGCTCTGATGTTTTGTTCCATTATTAAAATGAAGTTTGTTTTTCATCTCTTTTCTAATGTTTAAATAAAACAATGGCAGATATTGATAACACTCAAATGTGGTTTCTTAATTTTTTATGGTTTTAAGGATGAATTTAGTGGCAATTAGAACTGTAGTATAATTTTTCATAAATGTTAAATCTGGTGAAAATTCAAGTGGTACTATGGAATCCATTCATTTTGGGTCCATTGCTAAAAGTTCTTTGCTGTTTCAATAGGTTTGAAAACCGTTGTTAAGGTGGGAATGTAGCTCAGTGGTAAAGGACTTCCCTAGTGTGCCTGAGGCCCTGGGTTCAATCCTAGCCCAGTAAAAACAAAATGCTGAAGAATGTGAAGCTCTATTATTAATTCTAAACAATGTAGGTTAAATCAAAGTTAATGCTTCATCAGTAATACAGTCAAAAATATGATTGAAATTTGAACTTCAAAAGTATAATAATTCTAACATTGCCCATTGTTCATTCTTCCTGTACAGTTTGAAGGTAGTCAGATTCTGTTACATATTTAAGCATTGTAAAAACGTGAATAAGTGGGAGATTCAGAACTGGGGTAAAATGGTACAAATCTGAATATGTAAGTGAGGCTGTGTTTTTTGTTGTTATTTCTTTAGGTAAAGTAATAAGAATAATTTTTAAAAAGTGCTGTTTTTAATGCTTTCTTATAGAGTTAACATTTTCTCCTAAAGCCATTCCTTGCAACATTGACTTTGTCTTACTCTTCATAACTGATTTGCAGAGGTAGTTTGTTAGCTAAGCTAGGAGGTTGTAATGCAGTTATTGGCATTATTAGGATTAGACTTGTATGGTGGCATGCAGTTGTGTATTGGGGTTTATTTGCTTGTTACCACAACCCATGTCCATTTGAAAACTCTTATTCTCTCTGTATACAAACATTAGACTGAAGTTTTGATTTTAAACACAGTGCTTCTCAATCTAGGAGGTGTGTGTAAAAAATGTGGATTCAAATTCTGAAGGTCTTGAGATGGGGCCTGAGAGTCTGCATTTCTATTAGACTTCTAGGGGATTCATATAGGTATTGATGTCAATGGACTGTTCTAACAGTAGATGGGCCTAAGAGGTTTTAGAGTGTCCAGAAGGTTTTGCTAACCCAAGCAGATTTAAGTCCTTAGGAATATTGCCACAAAACATAGAAGCTAGACCTTCATAACTTTTCCAAGTCTATAAATTGAGGATGCAGACTACAAATTAAAGTGTGATTTTTTTTTTTTTTTTTTTTTTTTTTTTAAAGAAAGTTAAGGGTAGAATTTTTCCTCTTCAGGGAGTCTTTTTAAAAATATGAATTATTTTTAAAAATAGATTCACAAAAGACTTTTAAATCTTTAGATTTAACTTTATAGAATCTTCTTAGGTATAAGATTAGACACAGTGCTTTCTCACGTGGCTTATGTTCTCATTTTGGGAGTGTTAATATTAATGTAGATTTTCAAATACTAGAAATACATTCACTCCCTAAGCCTTGCTGTGTGTATTATGACTCTTCATTATTAATAAGCCTTGAAGACAGACACTATGCCTAAGACTCATTTAGTAATTAAGTTAGTAATTCTATGACGAAGTCATATTTGACAGTCACACCTTGTCATTTTTCTGAGTATCTCTGGTGACTTAATTTGCTGGGAGATTTTGTGGTTGGGAATTCCTATTTCATTATAATGTGAAGTTTGAAAGATAAGAGTTGAACAGTTTGATCCTCTAAAAGTGACTTTCTTAGAATTCTGTTTAGGTAACAGATTTCTTTCACAGATTTAAATTACTTGTGTGTAAGAACTTACTTCATTCAGTGTGCTTCAGAAAATGCAGACAAAAGTTAAGTAATGGGTATCTTTAATTGTTTTATCAAGATTTATTGATTGCTTTTTTGCAGGGGGGTGGTTGATGGCTGAGTTAATGGTAGGTCTGTTAATGTGCCTGACTTTACATTTTGCCTTTTGGATGTATTCATTAAAATCTGAGTTCTTCAGGTTTGAGGGTGTGTAGATATTAGTCTTGCAGAATTATGAAATTTCATTCAGTCATTGAATTTTTGGAACATATGTTGAATTATATAATAGGATCTTAACCATTTTCTCCTTTATACAGTAAGCTTTGTTCTCTTCAAATAGCACTTAAAGTCCAGACATGATGGGCTAAGCTGTTAAACCCCTGGGGAAAACAAATACTATAAGGATAAAAGACAACCCCTTCACTTCACTGAGACTGTAAATTTCTTGTGTGTGTATGTGTGTGCATGCAGATTTTTTGAAGGCAATTTTTATTTATTTATTTATTTATTTTTTAGTTTTAGTTGGACACAATATCTTTTTTTTTTTTTTTTTTTAAATGTGGTGCTGAGAATCAAACCCAGTACCCCATGCATGCTAGGTGAGCACTCTACCACTTGAGCCACAACCCCAGCCCTTTGAAGGCAGTATTTTCAATTGTTTGTACCATAAAGAAGAAAAAGGCCTGTGTAACTTATTCTCTTCCTATAGCAGGAAGCGCTTGCCTAGCACATATGAGGCCCTGGTTGTGATTCCCCAGTGTCATACACGTGAATTTGAAGAAGAGTATCATGAGCTGAAAATAGAATGTAGTGTAATAACTTTTTATACATAATTGAGTAAAAGTTTCTGAGGCATCTTATTTTTATAGAATGTTTTTCTAAGAGAAAATGGAATTAAGAGAATTGGTTACAAATACAGAAACTGATGGATGGCAGTCTTTAAGTTTTTATAGAGCAGGAATTAGCAGACTACAAGCTGCCACCTATGTTTTGGACTGCCATTGAGCTACAACTGGTTGTTACAATTTTTCTGATTGATTGGAAGTCGTTGAAAGAATATTTTGAAAATGTAATTTTAGTGTTTATAAAGTTTATTGAAACACAGTCATGCTTACTAATGTACTGTCTTCCTATAAAATGGTAGAATGGAGTAGTCAGATCCATGTCTCCTAAAATCGCTGGCCCTTTGTCATTCCCTGTTATAGAGGATAATTTTGTTTGTATGTGGTATGTGATCAGTTTGGTTATTTGTATCCTCGCTTACAGATTGGGGTCTGGACTCCTCTGTTACACACATTAGGTTTCATTTACAAAGTGGATTCCCCTGATACAATTTTGTCTTTGAGTACTGCTCAAAATCACATATACAAAGAAGTACCAGTGCTTTTTTAAGAATAACCCACTTTTTTTTCTTTTTGCAGTGTGGGGAATTGAACCCTGGGCCTCACCCATGCTAGTGCTCTGCCACTGAAACAAATCCCTAGCCCACGTTTTCCTCAAACGTTAAAAGTATAGTGAGATGTTTGCCAGGGATTTTGGTGGTCTGAGGGAAACAGAACCTGGCACTGATACATTAAACCACACCTGTGAAATAAATTATGGCACAGGACTTTGCTTTCTGTGTTGGTGAATTATTGATTTATTTCAGTCTATTTTAATACTACCTCCTCGGATATCCCTTTTATGCATTTAGATTGATACGAACGAATTCAGTCCTTTATTAACCCTATTTTTGTCACTGTCAGTTGGTAAACTCTGAGTGTTTACATAAGCATTTCAGATTGAATAGGAGTACTTGTTAATTCCTTCATTAATTGCACTAGTAGATGAAAAATAGGGTGCAGCCAGATTTGATTATGTAATGCTCATAAAATGTTCAAAGCAGATCTAAACTTACAAAGTGAGTGTTTCTGCTTGATATGACTGTATTGAGGGAGGGCGAATTTATTTGATGCACAATAAAACCTTTCATGAATCATTGAGAGTTAATTGATGTTATTTGCCAAATGAAACTGGTTATTGAAACATTTTAAGAAATGCACTTTCACATAAAATAAACCTATAACAACTAAATTCTCGTGTTCCCTTTTGTTTGCGGGGTGGGTGGGGGGCTTGCTGGCTGAGCCAAAATGAGTAAGAGGCATGCATGAACCATTTATTTTGCTCCTTTTAGGACTTGCTATTTAGAGGATTTTAAAGAGGTTTTCTGATTTATTCATAATTTTATGGGTTCCATAGACTTCTGAATCCATAGCTTTAAAAAAAAATGTGACCAACTAATACTGAAAGAACCTGCTTTTAGTTTACTAAGGCTGTTGTAAAGTATACTAAGGCTGTTGTATACTACGATCCAAGTGACTAGGTGTTTGAAGTCTGAGAAACAAATGAGACAAAAGTACCCCGTTGATAAGGATTGTGAGAAAGACTATTTGTGCCAGTTCCTGGGTTTTGGGTGGTTTTATGGCGGTTTTGGGGGGGCATTTCTGGTATTTAGTATTGCTTCAGTCTCTGCCTTCATCTTCATGTGGCTTTCTTATGTGCATATATGTACAAATTTACTCCTTGGTTTTTAGTAATTAGAATATAAAATAGGTCAATTTTAATAAATTCCTCTACATACAACGTACATGTTTATTAACTGAAAATTAAAATAACACATTGAAATTTTTTTTCATTGCAACTCAAAATTTTTGAAAACTAGAAAATCTTATGATGATACTCTAACCAAGACTACCCAGTATTCTCTTTACATCTCTTCTAGTTCCCGAGTTTTATTTCAGGCTTCGTAAACTTATAGGAAGGCTTTACATCTATTGGTACTTTGAATCAAATAGAAAAGTAGAACTTAAGTATATTGAAATCATTTATATACATTGTAACGCAGATTGATTATAGATCATTGGCATCAAGGTGTGAAGAGATCCCCAGCACCAAAAAGAGCAAAAGAAAAAGATACTTAAGGTACTCAAAATCATTGGTTGTCTTAAAGTAACATGCATAAATTGCCATCATGAAGAACAATGTACAATTTATGCCTAAATTGGCTGTCAGGATCATTCTCATTCTCAGAAGGATCTCATTCATGATACAAGAAATAACTGCAGGTATATTTGATGTTACACTGATTCACTTAAGAACTTCTTTAAAACCAATGTCTCTTTGTTCCTTTTGAAGCCTGGAAAATATTAATCTTAGGTGATATCTTGGTTTTGCCACGTGTTCATTCTGTGCAGATAACAATATCCAGTCTCCACCTGTAGGGAAAGTGCCTCTGTAGTAGTTATCTTTGTACTAGTAACTGCACATTGAATATCTGGTTACTTGCTTTATAAAGCAAGTAGGAAAATGAAAACCACCCATTGTGCTGATGGTACAGTGTGTTCACAAAGTTTGGAAGTATGTGCATGATGGAATTGTTGCCTGCCTTGTTAACGTTTTCACTCAGTTTAGGTGAAGATGAAGACTGGAGTGAGAATGATTACCTTTCCCATCATTAGGATGCTACAATTTGGATTTGGAATGTCCCCCAAAGGCCCATGTTTTTAAGGTTTCATCCCTGTTTGCTCTTAAGAGGTGGTGGAACATGTAGGAGTAGGTCCTAGATACAAGGACAGATCTTTAGCTTTTTAGGAAGGATAGTCCTTTGGGGGTGTTCCCTCAATTGGGATTGTGGTACCCTGGTCTCTTCCTTTCTTTTATTCCCAGCTACGATATGAACAGACTTCCACTCCCAGTCATTCCCGTTACCATATACTGGATATACTCTCTTGCCATGGGCTGAAAGATGATAGGACCAACTAGCCATGGATTGAAACCTCCAAAACTGTGAGCTAAAATAAGCCTTTTTTTTTTTTTAAGGTTGATTACCTCAGGAATTTTGTTACAGTAGTGGAAAGCTAATAGGTCTGTTTTGTTAGGGTTATAAATTCTGTGAGGACACCAACTTTCATTCATCAAAGCATTAGGCCATTGTTGGTTCATCTTTCCACCCTTTGTCCTATGCTGTTGACCCAGTAGATACAGATGGGATCTCCTAAGGTTAGGATTGGCTTGCACAGATTTTTCTTTAAGAAAAAGAGCTTTATTGGGAAGGTGAAAATGATCACTTGCTAACTTGAATAGCTAGATTGTACAAGAAAGGATTTGAAAAGTCCCTGATGTCCTCCAAGACTTGGACCTCATTTAAGTGCACCTTGTTCTTTCTCAGACCTAGAAAAAAATTAGCAACCTATGTTTCAAACAAGGGATAATTCTTCCCTTTTCCATGTACAGAAATACTGATGATTCCTTAGTTTTTTCTGGAATAAATTTTGCTCTTCTCTCACAGCCAGCCCTAGTGGATTCACCTTTACCAATTCTGGAACCAGACAGGAAGTAAGGCGTGAATGTTTCTTCATTGGGAATCCTATAGCTATATCTATTTCTTCAGGGAAGTTTGCTGAACACATTATGTACAGTATTGAGAATGTCTACTCTTATGTATTTTAATAGTACATTGAAACCATTAAAAATAAAGTTTATTCCATCAGCAGAGTTTGTTGCAGAAAACAATTTTATTAGTTATCAGTTTATCACCAGTTTATATTCACTACCAGGTTTATAATTTTAGAAATGGATTAGGAACACAAGCATTAGCATTTAAAAGCAAGGAAGGGAAATATGAATATCTGCCATTTTTCCTTTAGTGTATTTGTCATGTTCAGAATGCCTTTTTAAAAAAAAAAAAAAAAAAACTTGTAGTTGGACACAATACTTTTATTTATTTTTATGTGGTGCTGAGGATGAAACCCAGCACCTCCCATGTGCTAGGCAATTGCTCTCCTACTGAGTTACCCCAGCCCCAGAATGCCTCTTTTTAAGAAATAATGTTCACTTTTTTTTTTTTTATAATTGGGAAAGACTCTGGGTTGACACAGTAATAACATAACACAGCAGGAGTTTTTAAAATGTCTTCTGAAATTCAACTGATTTTAAATCCCAAAGGAAATTTGATAATGGCAGTGTTTAATATAAAGAACTTAACAGACTTAATATTGTCTGAAGTTTTATGTGCAGGTCCAGAAAATAATGAAAATGTAAGTCTAGTTTAAAAACTGGACAGATTAACATGAATATTTGGTTTAATGGAGAATTATTGGAGTTCATATAGAAATAAATTATATTGAAATGTTACTGCCATAAATGACATTGGCAAAAAAACATCAACTTGAGAAGCAATAGTGTTGAGTCTAAACTGGAACACTGCAGGAGTTGTAGGTCTTACAGATGTGAGTTTTTGAAGTGCCTAAATAGCTTCGACGTAGTTGGCTGGGAGCATGCCGGTTCTTCCAGTTCTTTGTACAGTGCCATACATCCATCCTTCATCAATAGCTTGAACATTTACAATAGCATCTCCATCTTTGAAGGACACCTCATCTGCATCTGCAGCCATATAGTCGTACATGGCACGGAAGATTTTCTATTTATGGGGATAGAAATGGAAAATTCTATGGGATTTGTAATAACCAATATCTAATTTTAAAATCTGACTTATTTCACAAATTTGAATTTCTAAAAAAAAATGTGCAACTATCACCAAGAAAGTAGTGACTCAAGAAATAAAATAGTTGTGAATCATTTATCTGATAAGGGATTAACATCTGGAATGTATAAAGAACTCATACAACTCAACATGATGTGTATAATAGACATTTCTCCTATCAGATATACAAATAGCCAAAAAGCACATGAAAAGATGTTCAGTGTCATCAGGGAAATGCATATCAAAACTACAAAATACCACTTCACACAGAATGGTGATAATCATCAACAAAACAATAGGTTTTAGAGAAATGGGATAGAAATTTTGAACCCTCATTAACTCCTGGTGGGGATGTAAAATGGTGTGGCCATTTTGGAAAATGGTTTGGCAGTTATCATGTGACCCAGCAAATCTACTCCTATATAACCAAGAGGAATGAAAACTTTGTGTGGTAACTTGTAGGACCATGTTCATAGCAATATTATTCCTAATAGCCCCAAAGAGACAACAACCCGAATGCCCACCAACTGATAAATGAATAATCAAAATGAGATATATCCATACAGTGGAATGAAGTATTATATATGATGCAATATGATGGACCTCAAAGCATTAAGAAGCAGCTATGTACTAAATCTACATATCCCATGATTTTGTATGAAATGTCCCAAATAGACAAAGTAGATTAGTAGTAGATGACTAGAATTAGAAGGGAGACTGGGAATGGGGAGTGAATGCTGATGGGAATAAGTTGCTTTTCCTTGTAATGTTGATGAAATATTCTAAAATTAAGCTAATAGAACAACTTCATAAATTAAATATGAATGTCAGCGAATTATATACTTCAAATTATGAACTTCATTCTGTGTTCATTATATATCCATAAAACTGTATGCCCATAGAGAAAAGAGAATATGCTTATTTTATATGTAACTGGCTTTTTTGTGTGCGTGCATTCCTGGGGATTGAACCCAGGGCTCTTGTACATGCTAGGCAAGAACTGAGCTATATCCTCAGCCACAACCCCCACTCTTATTTTTGAGGTAGGGCCTTACTAAATTGCACAGGCTGACCTGGAATTTGCAATCTTCTGCTTCAGCATTCTGAGTGACTGGGATTATGGGTATGTGCCACTACACCCAGCCTTTGTCTGCCTTTTGAGGAGTTAGGCTATGTTTCAGAAAAAAACTTGAAATGCCATAGCAATATTGCTTATGTGAAAGTTGTCAGAATTAAAATACAGTCGTTTTTGTCAAGCCTTAACCAAAAAAAGAAAGCCAGAAGATTATGAAGGAATCTTAATTCGCGATTGTCTGATAATTTTGTGTAATTATCACAAAAGAATGCTCCAGAACCACAGCCTGGATCATAGGCCACTGCAATTTTATACAGCAAATACTCCAAGGTCATCTGCTCAGCAACAGTCTATTCAGTTTCATTAACTCCTGGTGGGAATG